GCGCATAAATGTAATTGTATAAGCAGCTCGGCGTCATTCTTCTACCGTAATAATAAATCCTGGCAGGGTTGATCCGCTTCCTAAAAAATCTACGAGATCCTCCTCCTCCTCCTCTGAACAGTGGCCGCGGAAGCTGTGGGTACCTCTGGGGACATTAACATTGTAGGATAGGGGAGGGAGGGTTTGTATAACATGGGGACATGATGGGGACATCGAACAACCGTGGGGACATTGTCCCTCTGTCCCCTCCCCCTTCCGCGGCCACTGTTTCTGCATATGTATGTATGTACACGTGCACTTAATCCTAATTTCTGCTATGTCTTAAATATGATAATCCCAGCAGAACGACTACATCTTCTTCTTCTAGTCCCCGGGGACGGTGAGAAAGGTGTCCCAATTCTTTGATGAGTTATGACATGCCTGAGATGCATTACTTCATTACTTTTCTGAGCCTTCAAGCCCTGTGTTTGTAACTAATTGGAAGTTTTCATTTGCCACCACACAGAATGAAATTAGGTTGTTGTTGCGATGCTAAATTGTTTCTCGTATTGTTTTAGAGTACCCGATTTTCATGCATATTAAATTTACTTGCATCTCATCCGTACCGCATCTCATCTTGGCATTAATCCTGCCAAAATAATAAACAATTGGAATGTGGATGAAGGAGGTGTGGGTATTAGTTAGCTAGCTAGGCAAATATTTACCATTACGTAGAGGCGGATATAGCTTAATTTTTTATTATCTACTGTCAAACGAAATATGTATGCATACCGTGACGAACTTGGTTTTAGGATTAGCCGAAAAAATATTTGAATCATTTATGCAAATTAAGTACACATTGTAATCTCGAGATGTAACCGATTGATTTCATTGATATTATTGATTCATTACTTGTTAAGATGTGATGTCTCATGCTGCCGTTGATGCTACCGTGTCGGACAATGATAATAAATAATATGCTAAAATAGTGCAGTATCATCATCTCATCTCCTCCATTCATTCGTCATCTTCACCCTCTCCGGGTAAAAATATTAATAATCATATCTGCAAATATTGTGTTTGCGAATCATCACGAATTCGCATGTAAATAAATACGTCCATACGCATTTTAATCAAGTTTTTTAAGCACTACACTAAATAAATCAGAAGAGGAGATGCTAATCAGCCAATAAATGCCGGGGGATTACACTAAATACCAAAAAACAAGGCAAATCATCCCAATTTTCTCATTCATTTCAGCCTCTGGTATTTCCTTTACATCACAATTATTAAAAAATATTTGGCATTCCCACATTTTTGGGGATTCATTCCTCTAAACGGTGTGTATTCATGCCTTAATTTTCCTTCACAATTGATGACTTTGTGGATTTATCTTTAGCACGTAAATCTCGTAATTGCGGTGCATACGGCTCCCAATATATGTACATACATACACCTTTACAAAGATAGGAAGTGCATATACGCTTAATTCGCTGTTTTTCGCCGAGACTGACACACTACCCAAATTCTTCACGTAAATAACGGGACTCTTTCTCTCTTTCTTCTTCACTCTCCTCAGCCAAAACCAAATAAGACGAATTCTCACCATCCATCCATCCATCCACCTGTTTCATGAGTAATTTCCACGCGTACCTGTACCACCACCAAATCCACGGTAATGACGATAATATGAAGGAGAGTAAATTGCACCTATTCCATTTCTTACCTTCCCCAAAATTTTGATGATCCCTTATTTACCTTCCTCACATACATACGCATTTGTACATACATACACACATTAACATAAGACAACATTAGGATGGATGTCTGTCTGATTTAACTAACAAACCTTATTCCACCACGGACCTACCGACGCTACTTCACACTCTGGTGAAATGATTCCTTCTTCTTTCCTTAGTAGGGCAGTAGTATAATGTGCAGTGGTTGGTAGCAGAAGAGTTATTATTACGATTGATGACGACGACTACGATGAAGAAGAATACAATTCAGAGAACATCATCTCCCCATGCATTTTTCTTCACTGTCTCCTTCCACCAAATTTCTAATTGCAATAAGCCCTCCACGTAAAGTACCACCACCATCACCACCACCAACGCTACGAAAGGAACGTCTTTTGTTGTGGGGTGAAACAAATACGAAAGATTTACTTGGTTTGATTTTGCTTACTTTATGTACGCTTCTTATGCCTGAGCCTGAGCCTGGCCTACACTTCAGTTCGACAAACAGACTCCAATCTCAGTTTGATTTTCAACATCGCACGAGAGAGACGCCTTGTGTCGCAGTGGTCGGTCGTCGTCGCATATGTGGTCAAATTTGTAACGCCACACGTAAAAGTGGGTGAACATACACCTTGTGAACTCGTATACACCGTTGTCTTCCAAAATCTGTAACAATTATTCATAATTTCTCAAAATTAAAATTCCGATTTAGGAAAAAGTCTTACTTTTCCCTGTTGGAGTGCATCTCTTTTTTCTTGATTTCTGTACTTTTGCTGTCAGTGATATTTTTTGTGTGTGAGATTTCGTGAGTGTTTTCAATTTCCCATTTTCAGTGAATCCGTACATACCTAATTAACTGTGTCTGGTGGATAAGTGCCGATTTAATAAAATGGGACTTGTTAATCATAAAGATTTGCGGATTGTTGTCGGATAAGATAAGGGAAGAAGAAAGGCTACACAAAATTATGTGTTGAAATGAAAAACTGTTCAGTTTTTAAATAAGTGAAAAACAAAATTTCTGGAAAATTGAGAACGTTTCGAGGAAATACGAAATCGAGACTTATCATTCAAGGTAAGAAACGAGTTTCAAGGGAAGAAAGTTTCAATATTGTGTAATATGCACGTAAAACGACGACTTCTTTCTCCTCAAAAAGTTGTCGGACAAGTAGAAACGGAAAGTGAGACGTGTATCGTGTCGAGTCGAGGTGATCAGTTTTTTTTCTTCGAAAAGATTCAAAATATTTAACGAGGAACAAGTCATGAATGAAAGGAAAGATCATCTCTGGGTCAGATTTCTTGTGTTGTGGTGGTTAAAATCTCGGCACGTTTTTTTCTTTGGTGGCTCTCATCTCATACGACCTTGCCCAACATGCATAAAAAACATCGTAATTGCATCTAAATAGCCTGGTCTTCTCTGGAATTAAAAGTGGTCACGACTTTGAACTTAATTAAAAACATACAAATTAACTGATACAGATTTTAACAATTTAGTCGATCGAAATTCCAAAATTTTCAATTTGGAAATCCTTCCATTTTCTCACACCACGCAAAAAAATGCAATCTCATTTTGCCTACCTATTTACACCGGATGGGGGCATCTCGCATCGCATATCGAGATCAGGAAAGACACGAAATAATGGGACAACTGCGTCAATAATCACAAATATTATTGAATACCATCCCCCATCATCGCATCTGATGAATGAAGTCTTGTTACTAATTCGAGTCCCCTCCTGAGTTTGAATAGTGAAATGGCCGAATCGAATCAGCAGGATGTCACTTTGTCACTTAATCTGGGCCAGCATGAGTGAACGAAGGACGGACGGACAGTCTCGTACACATTTATAATCAGCATGCCATGACTTTACGCTACTAATGGGATGATGATAGAGTTAAAAAATTCAATCCATTTCAATTTCTAATTTTATGACAGAAATCATTAATAATCAGGGTACGGTCAGTTGTGAACCAGAACTTGTGGTGGGTCGCTTGCTAATACGCATACATTTCACCTTATTAAGTGTTTACAGTCGTTAAAAAATGGCAATTACACGTTTCGCAACGGTCACTTTTCTTTAACACACAGAGATAATTCGGGATCATTAATATTTGTCTTGGCTGTTTTGAGTTGACCATGTTGCAGTAAAAGGTCAGGGTGGTACACACATAATTCTGGCCACAGGCCACTTGGGGTGTGTGTGTTCCAAATAAATGCTCCCGTGGTGTCGTGGGTCACCATGTATGCACTTTCTCTCTTCTCCAATTAAGAGATTTACATGGGAATATCTGTAATTAACCGTTTTAAGATGAGGTACATACGTGGGTTTGTAATTTAACAAAGTTTTGCCAACTTTTACTTTTAGGAGTTGGTGGACCCGACTTCCATTATTTGAGCAATATTTTATCTTGTTTAAAAGAGAGTGAACCAGTTACTTACTTAGTTTTAGTCGGTTGATGAAACTCTAAACTCTAAAATATAAATAAATACCCGTTAGATTCTTTTTAGTGGAAAATTGCAGTCTGACTGAAAAGATTCACTTTTTATTTTCTTTCCACCACCTGCAACAAATCAGTTCAGTTCTTTGTGCAGGCCATTCATTTCATGAAGATAATAATTCTCCATTTTATTATAACACTCTCCTATTTTACGTATTAAATTATTTTGAGGCAAAAAGTTTCGAAATTTTCAAAGTTTCATGCACGGCTGCCACTTCCACTTTTCTTGTCGTTCTGTAAGATGTCCATCTATCAATCACTCCAACAGAAGAGAAGAAAATGAATAATATTTTATTCGCATTTACTTAGTTTCTGCACTCCAAGGACGACTCTAATTTTGGGGAAATTGTAGGAATTACGCTGTCTGGGCATTTATCTCGATTTTATTTTATTATTATGCATGCATTAAAATTGGGCTGGTTTAACTGCCTTTGGGATGATGTTTTATTTTACGTAAAAGTGAATTCGATTTAATATCCTTGTTATAATTTCTTAAAAAAGAACGCTGGTTTTGTCATGCAAAAAAGTGCAAGAAAATCAAACAGTGAGAAATTACACTATCGACACGAGTCGAATGTGGGTAAGTAAATTGGTTAAGCGTGAAGTGCATCCAATCTGATTACAATTAATAAGTTTTAACTTTAACGATCCGGAACCAACGGTTAACAAAGTGTGTACTAGTTGATTATAAATTTAATTATAAATGATTCTTAGTAAGCCACGACCCCTTTAAAAATTAAATCTTAATTTAATAATAATAACAACAAAAACTTTATTTTCTCACAGATAATCCACCCTTATTATTCAACCTGCCAAAAAAAATGTCATCATCCACAATGACGAGAAGAGGAGCCGTGAGACGTTGTCGGAGTTTGATATCGGCCGATAACACGTTATCATCATTATCCAGCAGCAGCAGCACTACTGCCGCCGCCCACAGTTCAAATGACGCTCAAGAAAAAAATCAGGGGGACGAGAGGACACAATTCATCCCCAATTTGTTTTCGGGGAACAAAAACCATGGACTGATTTTTAGGAGGAATTCTTCCAGGTCATTATCATTTCCATTCGCGTCTTGGACTGGGAGATCTACCACCACCGCGGTCGTCATGTCCTTGTTAACGTGCTGCCTCCTTCTAGTCATCAATTCACAGGTAGGGATAATTTTGGATAAATAACTTTCCCTCATTATTCCGCGAAAAATTCGCAACAATTGTCCCACGAAATAATCCTAAGAATAGATTCGCAGACATGATACATACACATGTATTTACATGCATATACAACGAACATGTCTCGTTATTCCATGCAACCAAAAAAGCACGATCTTCTTGGTGACATGACATGAAGCAGCAGAAAGTAAACGAGGCTTCAATTTCCTTCTTATTATTCGTTACTTGCGAAAAACACTGCCTTCGTGTAAGTAATCATGTAGTAAGTGATGTGGGGAATGGAAAGAGTGACAATTTTTAAGGAGATTTAGAAATTATAAACTTTTGCAAATTTATTATCCAAAAAATCCGCCTGGTACAGGCGACTAAATTAAATTCGAATTTCCAAATTGAATTAGACCCCTCATCCTTCATCTTTTATAATCAGAATTATTCCAATTTTATCCAAAATTTCGTATTCGACGTGCGACACCTTCAAAATTATGAAATCCACTTCGCCTCCCCCTTTCCCCCTTAAACAAGGTGCACTAATTTTCTAAAAGCAGCAGCACTGCACTCACTATTTTGTATCATATTCTTCATTCTCTCAATCTCACAGAAAACTTGGTAGCGCATTTGATTTTTTTAAGACATGCTAATGAAAGATATAAATAAAATGAATGAGCAAATAATAAAAGACCGGCATGTCACATCACATCCGAAAGTGGGCCAAGTAACTCTACACCAACGTTCAACGTTCCTCTCCTCTCGATCCGACTTGCCTTTGCATCCCAGTTTCTGAATAGTTTAGTGAATAGGATTCAACTAAACCGTATCCAAATGACAAAGGACATTCATTTTTATTTCGTCTTTAATCTCAATTTCTTTCTGCTTCAAGTTCAATGTTGCTTCAGTAGTGGTGGTGGTGGGGATGCCAACCTAGTCAGCAAAGTCGTCTTGTCGCCAATAGGGCGACGACGACGACAACGACGACGATTTCATGTGAGGGAGGATGAGAAAGACTTGCATTTTTATTCAGCAGCATACTTTACATGTCTTGATTAACAGAGGTAAAAGTCCAATTAGGACCTTTAAACAAATTAAGCACACATATGTACATAAGACGAATGGTAAATGTAAATGTGTGCCGCATATTCAGAAAACCTACGAGAAATAAAAATGAACTGGGAGGAGAGGGTGGATGTGTGTGTGTAATTATTGTTGGATGGATTTTTTTTCATAGTAAAAAAACTGAAAATTACTTTAATTACTCTTTTATTACATTCTTTCTCTCAATTGAGGTAGTGATTAGGAGATTGTTTTTGTAAAATTGGGGGCCGAAATTGGGGACAGTTTTATACATTTCGTGGAAATAAGTAATAATAAGAGGCCAAGAGGGTATGTATTCATGATTGGAAAGTGGCTGGGTTAGATTGAGATGCAGTATAAATATGCAAATGTGATTAGAGAACTGCATGGCAAAAACAATTAGTAAAGTGGCTGGATTTTAGCAATAATTAATTAAATATCAGTTCTCATATATTACATTCTTAATTGTAGTTGCACAACTTTTCTCCTGATGTAATAATAAATTGGCCTAATTTTACTTTTAAAACTTTGCGTCAATCAATAATCAAAATTGTCACTTTGAAAATTGCTCTTATCGTAATCATTCTACGGTCCGCTTTTTCATTTCATTTCATCCCTTATTTCGTTCAATTATACAATATCTAAATAACAAATCCGACAATATTTTATCACCCCAAAAATAATGTTCTTGACCCTTAAGACAACACTCTTTGTATGTGAAATCTTCATCAAATTTGTCACTCTTTCACGTTTCGCATCGTCATATGTATCACTGCAAATAGGCAATTTCCCATTGTGATGTCAACCCTACTCCGATCCACAACTGCAAAAATAATGTGTCAAAAACAATGGGCCAAGAAAACCCAGTAGTTGATCATCCTCTCATCTCATCTCATCGTCCCTAGATTTGCACAGTACGTGGTTTGGTTGATGAAGCAGTGCGAATATGAAGCATTGTTCAAGAAAAATATAAATGTAGCGTGTGGTGTGGTCAAAGTGGGTGGAAATTGGGTTCGTTTCACTCCTCAGATGCATAATATTTCGGTAACAACGACACAATCACATCACAATACGTACATAACATAACTGCATTTGCACCCCGGCACAAAGTCGTATGTACGAAGGATTGTAAGTAATTCCGAGTTATTTCAGCGTGCTTTTTGCCATTGTTTGAATGTGTACAGTGTTAAGTTGTGGATTAGCAGGATCACGCAAAAACAAAAGGAAGTCACACTTGAATTCAAAACGTTAAAAAATGTGGCAATATTAAGACAACGAGTATGTAAGTTTCGGGTGAAAACTAAACCAAACCACCACCGGCAAACATTACTAAAGTCGTTATATACCCTTCCTTTATGTAATTTAATATTGTACTTGGCAATATTTGTGAAGACACACATTTTTACGGTGACACTCATTCATATCGCGGATAAGCTAACGTTGAAAATTTAGGTTAAGCGGCAGTAATGAGTTTTGAATTGCGGATTTAGGTAAACTAAAGAGCATCCACTAAGGTTTTTGACTGCCCCGTAAAAGGCGCGCTAGGCGGGAACACAGCGAAATTAAATTTCGAAAAAATTATTTTTGAATAGACCAAGTTATAAGCTTTCCATTGATATATGTCACCAATTATTGAGTCATGGCTAAGACTAGAAAAACTTGGGTTGAAAGGCAAGGGTTGAAAAAAAGAGTGATTGAGTTTCACAAAAATCGAACAAACTATGATTCTAAAATCACTTGGCACTTTTTCAAACAAGAAGGTATTCCTCATTCAAATGTCAACTCTTTCATAAAAAAGTACGAGGAATCCAATGAACTCAAATTCAAAGTCCCCACTGGTCGACCTGCAAAGCCAGCGACGACAAAAGTCAAAAATCGGATAAAAAAAATCTTCAAAAATCATCCATCAACGACAACGGCTGGCGCCGCAAGTAAGGTCAAGATTTCAAAAAGCTATCTGTGCAAAATCAAAGTCCATAAACTAGGGATTGTAGCCAGGGCAAAAAAACCTGCACCAAATTACAAACCAACACAACAGGAAAGGATTCATGCGTGCTGCAAGAAATTGTTGAAGAAGATTCGGGGAAAAGTGGTCATCATGGACGATGAGCCCCACGTCACAGATGACACTTCAAATCTTCCAGGAAGGCATTTTTTCCATAGTCCCAACCCCTGTGAAGTAAAGTATGAAGGCAAAATCCAAATGAAAGACCAATTCACAAAACAGTGAAGAATTTGGCAACGCATGTATAGCATTGGTCATTTTTCCGATCCCGTTATTTTGGAGGGCACTGTAAACCAGGGGGTTTATCTTAAATCATGCATTAAAGGGGGATTGGAATCTTTTATTACCAAAGATCATAAAAAAATAAAGTTTTGTCTTGGCCTGACCTCGCAAGGTCCCATGACGCCAAAAAGGTCACTCAGTACCGACATCTGAAAAAAATTGAATTTGTGCCAAAAAATGGAAACCCACCAAATTTTCCTCAACTGCGACCAATTGAGAAATTCTGAGCGCTGACTAAGTCCAAACATTCTAAGCTTTCAGAAACGCCAGACACCTTACGAAAATTTAAGAACAGATAGAAGAAAATCAGCTTGAAAATAGGTGCAGTCTATGGGAGGAATTTGACGCGAAATCGGAAGAGGAAAATGCAATCTGTAGCAGACAGCGGAATTGAATCATTAAAATTTGAACTGTATGGCAATCCAAACCCTTTGGTAGTAAACATATGCAACTTTTTTGAAATTCCATTAACTTTATAAAAAGTTCTGAGCATTTTATTACGTCAGTCAAAAACCTTAGTGGATGCTCTTTATGAGATATGCATTATCATAAAATTACTTTGTATAGGCCTAAATTTTGTTGGCATTGCTATCAATGTTTGATGATAATCTTCTGACCTATGATTTGACTGGTAATTATATTTTCAGAATTTTATGTATATCGACGTTGAAATCAAGCTATTTATATATTCAAGTTAAGCAGAAACATTTAATTGCTCAATTTGAGATGTATGTATTTACCCGGTTATAAAATGCTGAAAATTTCAAGACTACGAAGTACATTACATTATGAAAATTATATTATGAAAAACTATTTGAAATTCCGCTGACCAATCCATCCAAGTAAATATTAGTAAATTCTTCTGGATTTTGTAGGTATTGTTCTGATTTATAATGAGTGACATATGTATGTACATGACCCTATTTCAACTCCTCCGGTTGAACTAATTACTAAATTTAGTATACCCTAAATTTTCCCTTTGCCTTGTTTTCATTCTTATTTTACACTCTCTCAACCGGATTCATGCTTTTTCTAAATTTCTCCAATTCCCACAACCTGTCAAGTGCAGTTCAGGTGCATCATGTTGCAATCTTCAATTTAGCAAAATCTACCCTTAATTGACCTACATACTAGAAAAAAAATATATTACCAGATCACATAATAAGTAATACAGATCCAATTATAATTATGCACACTAGCCAAGCCACGTATCCATTGGCCAATAAATCTCATCCATCTGTTGAGAAACATTTTGGGTGGGTCATGTCACATGTGTAAGTAAGTAAGCCGAGGATGCAATTTTGTTACAGGAAATTTCGTAATAACAATTTATTCCATTTGTTTCATCTTTTTTTATTTAAAAACGTTATTACTTTTTAATAATAGAATTAAACCAGATCCAAATTTCTTAATAAATAATTCAAGGCAAGTAAGTACTTGACGAATTTAGGAAAATCCCTAATACCAAAAACTCGCATTTTTTGCCAAAATCTTCTCAGTTTCTTCAGTACTTTGTCTTCTTCTTTCCCAATAAATAATACAAACACTTCTTCAGCAAAACGAAACGAGAAGTTGGTTCTTGCCTCACAAAATATTTGGACTATGGCTAAGTAAATAAAAAAAATAAATTAGTGCGTTCATTCCAAATCATAAACAATGTGAGACCACATCGCATCGTACCAATTTTCAACAAACCAAAAACCAAACAACTCTCGGTCTCAATAATAATAGTACAACAAATGCGAGGTCTAAAAAAAATATTGCACTTAATAAAGAAGACGCAGCGAAATATGATGAGCATGTCGGACAGGATTGACCTGGAAAACTGGTCGGATGTGAAACATTCACTTCAATTCTCGAGATACGAGATCGACTTAAAATAAAATGCGATATTAATTTTGCTCGCTTTTGCCTCTAGCTACATAAAATATGATCAAAAGCTGAGCACCCGTGCCATCAACATATAAATAAAATGGTCAACTTGCTTGCTCCTTCTTCTTCTTCTGGCCATGCTCACTGATTTTTGGTGAAGATGATCCACATAGATAAGCCAGAAGTAGCTTATTGTGTAGATATGTACGCATACGTATCGTGGTTGGTTAGGGGTGGGCTTCTCGGAAGTAATGAATGCTTTGCTGCGTTACAAAAAAACGAAGGAAAGGTTTACTTACACACTTGGTAATGAGAGGAGTAAATTATTCTATTTATTAATTGTCACAATCACGGGCAAAATCTCGGAGGAAAAATGAAGAGGAATTTTTAGAAAGATGAATTAGTAATTAGTAATTGTTTTTCATGTAGAAAAATTTATTTTGGGGATGAAAATGTTATAATTATTAATCTATTTCTATCATTATAAAAAAATTAGTAATCATAAGTAATAATTATTAATAACCAGACATTTTGAGTGGCCGATGGACCTATGTACTTTTAATTTTAAATGATTTGATTAAAATCAAAATACGGCACTTAATCCATACAAAATATTAAATGATGATTTTTCCTCGTCAGATTGCCTCCTCTGAGAACATCCCTGATCAAATAGCCATGGCTGCCGAACACAGGATCGGGCTTCACCCCGGCGGTGGTGGTGGTGGTGGCGGTGGGGGTGGGGGTCAGTATGGTCCAGCACCGCCAGGATTTGGCGGTGGAGGTGGTGGCGGCGTTGGTGGGCCACACCCCGCACAAGGAGGCGAAGTCGAGGCCTGGCCACTCCAATCGGCGCATGACATGCCGCAAATTAAGATTCTTCAAGTTCAATGCGAAAAATCCCATATGCGCGTCAACATCGAGTTTGATCGACCCTTTTACGGAATGATTTTTTCCAAAGGGCACTACTCCGATTCGCACTGCGTCCACTTGGCCCCCGGATCTGGACATCTCTCTGCAACCTTTGATATTTATCTTAACGCTTGTGGAATGACGTCGTCAGCCAATAATAATGGTGGATATGGGCCAGCACCGTCCGGAACGTTTGTGGAGAACACGATCATCATTCAGTATGATCCGTTAGTGCAGGAAGTTTGGGATCAGGCGAGGAAATTGAGGTATTTTGAGACTAATTTTTACAAAATATTGCGAAAAATTGGTGATAAGAACATTTTGTAATCCATTTCTCGTTTATGTAGGTGTACTTGGTACGACTTTTATGAAAAGTCCGTCACCTTCAGACCTTTCCAGGTCGATATGCTGCACGCCGTTACTGCCAACTTTCTCGGAGGTGAGAGTGACACCATAAAAAAATAAGTGTTTGAGAATTTAAACTAATTTGTGCTAATCCAATTTACAGATAATTTGCAGTGTTGGATGCAAATCCAGGTAAAATTTTAATCCAGAATAAACTTATGTACGAGCCCCATGAGTAGAGAAGTCAGTCCTAAATGATACAATTTTAATGTACACAGGTCGGAAAGGGACCATGGGCTTCAGAAGTCTCCGGAATTGTAAAGATAGGTCAAACCATGACCATGGTGCTGGCAATTAAGGACGACGAGAACAAGTATGACACATTTTTTATTGAGCCACTCATAATTTATTATACTTTAATAACAATTATTGTTGTTTTTCATTTCAGATTTGACATGCTTGTAAGGAGCACATTTCAAACGTTTTATACTACAAAAATTGCATATTTGAATCTTATGCATCCATATTCTATATCTTCTAGGTCCGAAACTGCGTCGCACATGACGGAAAGCGTGCTCCCATCCAATTGGTTGATCAATACGGATGCGTAACTCGACCCAAGATTATGTCACGATTCCATAAAATCAAAAACTTTGGGGCGTCAGCTTCTGTCGTGTCATACGCCTATTTCCAAGCCTTTAAATTCCCCGACAGCATGAACGTCCATTTCCAATGTGTCATCCAAGTCTGTCGCTACCAGTGTCCTGAACCGAAATGTGGTGGAGAGGAAGTTTACGGTCCTCCCGGGTTGGGTGGTCCTATCGGTAAGTAGATAACATCGTAAATTTAATTAGTGCATCATCCACTGCTTAATTTCTAAATATTTCAGACCCCCGAATCCCACACGGTGCTTACTCCGAAGCAAAAGAAAACGTCGCCGCGTCCCCATCGCCCGCCGGAAATGACCAAAGTTCCGCTCAAAGTGTTGTTAAACCCGTTCAAGTGCCACCCCCACAACCGCAACACCAACAACAACAGCAAATTGGACACGGACCACCCCTTCCCGTCTTCAACAAGCCACACCCACTCGGCGGACCACTGCCTCAACCCAGCCACGTCATGTTGCCACCACCCCCACGCGGTCCGTTCCCACCCGGCTATCCCAACGTCAAGAGGGAAGGAACCGTCGCGGACAATGAGGATGACGAGGAGGAAGAAGAGGAAGAAGACCAACCACAACAATCCGTCAGCGGAGGTGGACCATCCTTCGCCGCGTTGGGAGGAAGACCACGATCCGTCGATTTTGATAAGGCTGAACGTATGCCGAGAGCTCATGACCTTTCCCCAAGTGCGAGGAGACGACGTGATATTGAGAATATCGGGGGAAATCCGGACCATCAATTTTTCACCGTTCATATTAATCACGTTTATAAGAGGAGTGCACAGGAAATGACGGATGTTGAGACGACGCGAGTTATTCAGGTAAAAAATTAACCTCAAGTGCAAAGACAAAGATTTTCGGGTACAAGTAACCACGTGCAAGAAATAACGGGGAGAAAGTGGTTTCTTGCAGCTATTTCGACCTACAAGAAATCCAAGGTGCAAGAAACCAACCCCGTCGCTATATTTCGTACGGCGCGTGGCTGGATGGCGCATATTTCTTGCACTTTCTCCCAGTTTCTTGCACTTCGCATTTCTTGCGTTTCTTCCTTTCCAGTTCTAAAAATGTGGCAAACCCACAAAAAAACGAAACGCTGCAAAAAAACAATAATGCAGCGCCTTTGCGGGACTCTGCCGTAATGCAACGAAGCAACCCCCAAATTTTGGTCGTTCATGTACTACATGACTCAAACCCCACGTGGGAGCAATCATAAGGGTTCGTATTTTTGAAGTTGCTTCCAAAAATTATATAAAATACGAACTTGTAAGAAAATGTTGGTGTAAGGTCTCAGGTCATGACCTTGAAGGTCACAGGTCACATGGACGACAAATGTGTCCTCTTTACCCCCCTCAAAAATGGTGTCATTCGAAAGATAATCTCAAGGGCTTCAACTTTAGTCCTTATCGCTTATGCTCTCCGACCACACCCAAGGCCTGTGGGAGTGGTTAAAGTTTGCATCAATTTCTTACAAATAAATATTGAAGAAACTTTAACCACTCCCACAGGCCTTGGGTGTGGTCGGAGAGCATAAGCGATAAGGACTAAAGTTGAAGCCCTTGAGATTATCTTTCGAATGACACCATTTTTGAGGGGGGTAAAGAGGACACATTTGTCGTCCATGTGACCTGTGACCTTCAAGGTCATGACCTGAGACCTTACACCAACATTTTCTTACAAGTTCGTATTTTATATAATTTTTGGAAGCAACTTCAAAAATACGAACCCTTATGATTGCTCCCACGTGGGGTTTGAGTCATGTAGTACATGAACGACCAAAATTTGGGGGTTGCTTCGTTGCATTACGGCAGAGTCCCGCAAAGGCCATGCAATAATGTGTTTACAAAAAATCGCAATATTTTATGAATTTCCAGGTCGTGGCTCCCGGAGATGTCGCATTTTCCTTGGGATCCAACAACAACTCCACTTCCCAAGACTCTGTAGTGATTGAATCTTCTTCTCGTGGCGATATTGATGGAATTTGCATGTCAGTGTCATCCTTTGTTGTCGGATTGGTCATGCTTCTCCTCCTCCTCGTCGTCGCGTCGCTCGTCGCCGCATTCCTCTTCGTCCGAGTGAGGTCCATTCACAGGAAAACGGCCGTCTTTGCGGGCGGATTTGACAATCCCGAATATCTGAAACATTCCATCGGTGTCGTTCCATCAAGCTAAATTAACTTAATCTACTTAATAAATATTTACGTAATGAGTAATTAATTAATTACTTAATAAATTATTATTTTTTGACTGGATTGTGCTTCTAAAAATGAAATATGTTATACTTTGTTTGTGTACGTACGTACGTACTTATGTACGACTTTTTATACATATTTACTTTCTCCTGACCTGCATTTCGCTATATTTACATGTCTGAATATTTTTTGTACCGTGTTATTTACGTTTGTGTGACCCTTTCTCGTAGTAAAAATCATGCATGGATAGTATTATTTTGTGTAACTGTCACTTTTTTGTACTAAATTGTTACGTTTTCAGAATTATTTTAGTTATTTTAAGTAAGTTCGATTAGCAGAGGGTAAGTATTTATTTTGAACATTGCAATTTTGTAAAAAAAACGTACTTATAACTTATGAGCTTTGGGGCCGGAATGTTTGCGATTTTTAATAAGTAAAAGTGTGCATATTACAATATTATTTGTAATTTTTTAGTTTTTGATAAAGGAAAATTTCGATTGATGAAAATTAGAGGGGTTGAATTGTGGCCATGCATTTTATTTTGCAAATTAAAACTGAGAGGTATTTGCAAAACTGATTTGCAGTAGATTTAATACATAGCTAATAACTGATACACGATAAAATAATGCAAAATTATACGATTAATAAGTAACTAATATAATTAAAAGTAATTAATATCTATAATTCTTAGCTGTAATTCATAATTGTCTAGAAAATAGTTTTAAGTATTGCAGATTTGCACTCACGTCATTTTTGCAGACGGTGGAATAACAGGGGTTAAGATGATGCTTAGTTTTGTATGAAACTACTAACAATTGTAATCATAATTAATTAATTTGTGTGTATATAATTAACGATAATGTTGTATTTTCTTTGTTAGGACTTTATAACTCACCAATTATTGATTAGAACAACAAGATAAAACTTTCTACCGAATTAACGTGTAAGTAAATATGAAATCAATCATGTAATCAATACTACTACATATTTTTGCATTATTAAAATAAAATGAAATATGAAAACCATTTACTTTTGTAATAAATACGATTGATTTGCATAAAGAAATTGCATGCCAAGTTCGAATCAATTTTCAACTTTTATTGAAACATTGAATATTAACTGTTATAAATCGTATAAAAAATCTGACCCTATAAAAACACAATAATCACCTGAAATCCAATTTGGTTTAGTAATAGGAAAAACTTCCCAAGAACACGAATCCCGTGGTTAAATGCCACAATTTGCATAATATAAAAAATACGAGGCCTTATCGTCCATACCCATATTGAGGCGCAGGGGGTGGGCCATAGCTTGGTTCTGGGGGTGGTCCATAACTTGGTTCTGGAGGTGGTCCGTATGATTGCTAAATTAATAAATTTAAAAAAAAATCATTATTTCCATCAATTTAAAAATTTCCAAAAGTCTTTTACTAACTTGTGGAGGTCCATATTTGGAAGGTACGGAAGGCGCATATCCATACCCACCACCTTTGAGTTTTCCTGCCCCCGCACCGGCCCCCGCCCCGGCCAAGAGTGCCTTCAAGATAAGCAGTTTGGCAATGATAAGCTTCTTCTTTAGCAAGGTTCTCTTAGCTCTGCGATGCTTCTGCTGGTCTGAAGTTTCTAAAGACTTTAGCAACTCAGACTCCAATTCGACAATGGCCAAGGGAACATATTTCTTCAGATCGTCGTCAGAAAGGTCCATCTGGATGGGCTTTTTTAGAGAGAGGTCCTTTGATTTTAGTAACGCCTTGAGCGAAGTACTGCTCGATTCCTTGATGGAATTAGAGGATGTCGACTGGTGTGATAAGGTGACCAGGCAAAATAAGGCCTGGAATCAAAGGTAATTAGGTAATTAGTCGGGTTTATGTATATTTTACATATTTTCAGCTTGCCAAATTCGACATGGTCGAATAACTATGGCGCCAGTTAAAAAATAGTAAATCATTCTTATCCTCGTACAAAATACTAAATACGTAAACTGCACCCGAATTCTAAATATATTTCCTTACCAAGATTATCTTTTTGGACGTCATGATTTAAAAAATATGAAATTGTACCACTGATCTTGCTCCTCTTCATGGAATGATTTAAGTGCCCGTGCACGCAGGCCTTTTATACATACTTCCCTCATACTGAGAACATCTCAAAGCCAAGGCGCTAACAAAATGTGACCTTACACCTTAATTGCCCTGTTTTCCGTTTTAGGTATCGGTCAGTATGAAGTAAGTCGTTAAACTTAAACCTCATCTTTGCGATACACTAAAAGTGCAAGTAAGTGATCATCGGGCCTGCAAATTTATTCAAAAATTTACCAACAACGATGACCAGACTCACACAAATAATAGTATTTAGTTAGCGATACGTTTTTAAAGCATTATGTTGGGTGTTACTTATTTGTGAGCACATCTTTAAACTTGATTACCATTTCGTCCTATTATCGCCGCGTCTTTTTTTATTTGCACATGCATATTTTTTACAAACAAAACTCATATTATGCAACCCGTTGTACAATAAAGATTTTATCTATTCATATTCAGTATGAAAATAGAAACAAATAAATAACTGACAAAAATGTGCAAACAAAATTTTCCCTAAAAAATCATGCCACTAAAAAATTGCAAACTTTTTCCATTCAGAAAACTAAACACGTCTATACATACATTTTATGAACAAATACAATTGATCAACAATTTAGACATGCATTTAACTTTACACCAGGTTTCATTAACAAAGTTCAACTTGATTCTTGACTTTTAGCCGTATTTGCTCAGGATCAGTTACCCAATAACATTTTAGCGTCTTTTTGTCCGCTAATAAAGTAAAGTAAATGTAGCAATGCAATCATCGTCATCATCTCCACAGAGGAGCGAAACCCTTTCAAATTGATGATAACTAAACGACGTATGTACTTATTTATATGCGTGCCCGTCGAAGAGGATGTGATGTGATCCCTCGCCACCTCAACCTTTTAGACCAAACCACACACGAGCTTTTGTGCAATTCCACGTATGAATTATTAAAAAAGTTTTTACATTTTCTCAGATCACGAACGAAAATACGAAATGTACAGACGGTAGTAAATGTATAAATGATCAAGTATTTACATACAAATAGTGGTGGTCTGGTCTCTTTGATCGTCATAATGATAACTTCATTTGTGATACCTCATCCGTGATCGAGTGACATGAAAGTGGGGAAAGTATATATGCGGTAGATATTTAATTAATTTATGAATTTGGGTGTGGACTCTAAAAAATTATTTAGACTTGGCACAGTTCAACGTCAGTGTTCAATTTATCCAAATTATTATTAATATTAACCTTTCTCAATTAGAAAAGTTATAAATTCTGAAAAATCTCAAATTCCCATTACACAAAAAGAAATCTCATATTCCATAATTTAATTTAATTTCTCAATGAATTTCTCAATTTCTCACGTCATCTCATCATGTCTCACGCTCACTACACGAACGAATGCGTCTGTCGTTCTTTCTCTGGCAACAGGATTGAGTTTCCATTCATCCATTCCGTCGTCCCACAAATTACTTGGATTAGTTATCCAAATTTTGAAAAACCTACTTGAAAATTTATCAAATTTCGAAAAATTTACAAAATTTCGATAACGTATTATCATATACTTTGTTGCAAAACGGTGCTGATGGATGGTCTCATCACCATCATCAGTGGGCAAAATAAGAAGCCGTGAGTTAGAGTTTATGAGAGAGTTATAATATTAGTTAATAAGGTAAGTATTTAAGTATTTAAGCAAGTATTAATTTATTCTTATGGTAGTTATCAATTTAGAGGTGAAAATACTGTTGTGTAAGTCATTTCCGGCTCTTTGTTGTTTTGTTATGGTTCAATTTAGCGAAGGGAAAGTGACAATGGGAAGAGACCGACAAAGTCGACGACATATTTTAATATAACCTGGAACAGTTGTTCACGTTTTTTTATAAAGATTGTCCAACTCATGTGGTACTAGAAATCAGGGTCAAAGTTGGAGTGGTTAATAGTATAATGGAGATAGAAGTGATGATTAGTGATACGGACAATTGTAACGTAACAGCTGTAGTAATGTGGAATGTAGTAAAAGTAGTAATAATCCGGTTAACTGTAGGTCGGATTGGGCATGAAATTAAAGTTATATAATTGTGCATATTCATTAAAGTTGTGTGAGATTGAGGTTAATTTGGTATATCTTTGTGGTTTTCAGACAGTTGATAGCAACACCGGCCTGAATTTGATGTCGTGAAATTAATCAACAATAGAATAACCAGATAATGTTTTCTAAACGGTTTATCGACAAGAAATTTATTGGAAATGGATAGGCGTTGGAAGTTTAGGGGGAGCTGCAGCAGTAACAGCCACCACTTTAGTTAATTTCGGCGACGTTAAGTTGTTTAATTACTTTTTTTTAGTTTGTGTAGTAAATGTGTTTTTTTGTGTGACAAATTGAAAGTGATAATCTGAACAAATAAGTGCCCCCACTGTGACCGTGATTTTAAAACTATGGATGAAAAAAGTATGGAGACGGAGCCGGACAAGTCATACCTTCATCAACAGCAGCAGCAACAAACTAATTTATATACGTCCGGAAATGACGAAAAAATGAGTTCCTCCAACCCCACTGGTCCTTCCACTAATACGGTGGTGGGTGGGGGAGGTCACTTACGTGGTATATCTCACGGTCACGGTGCGATCCTAATGAGCAATAATAATAATAACAATAACAATAACAACGACGATAACGATGTGAGTATGAGGAATGGGGTTGTTGGCCAGAGAATTTTTGGTGGAGGGCAGATCCGCTCGATGGATGACGCCGAGGTTGGAATGACGTCGGGGTCACGGAGTGGAAGCACGGAAATGTTGCGACATCACCATCGGCCTTCAAGAGCGTGTCCAAGTCCTGTCTCTTCCATTGTGGGGACAGCTTTAAATCAGTGAGACAATACAAACTATGTATAAATATAACGCCCCTTTTGTGGATTTATTTTATAATTGGTTTTATGTTAGGATGCATTTGAAACGGTCATCTTCAGCTCCAATGATAAATCAACTCGGTATTGGTGCCATTGTACCGGAAACGATGAATAATATATCTCCGTCGTCAACGCCAAGTTCGGGTAGCCTTCCGCACCACAGTTCTGCGAGAAATAAAGAGTCAATCGCGGATTTGGATTCTTACGCCTCGTCTTTCTTGTCATCGCTGGGAGGGAGACCTAGAAGGTTCTCGGCCAGCTTTAGTCCAGCCGTGAGTAAAACTCATATAATGAATATTCATAATTGAAATTGCTTTGCATAACAATACAATAACTTCTTGTTTCTTTTAAATCAGGGATCGCCTGGCCCTGCACCCAACAGAGTTAGTCAACTACGCCAAGAAAATACTGCAGATTGGGAGACGATGAGTGAAAAAGAGTTTCATGGGACGATAAATATTGCACAGTCATGGGAGGATTTATCTTTGGTGAGTATTTATTGATAGAATAATCAAAGATAATCTAACAGAACAATTGACTTATTATTTTTGCAAATCAGGACTCCATGTCGATGGAAGTGGGAACTCGACGACCGAGTATATCGGATCAGTTATGGTTGTCAATGCCACCATCATCAGCACCATCATCCCCCGCAGCATCACCTAGAGTCATGTCTCGTTTCTCGCCAAGTCTTTCATCACCTTCCCCAACTAGAAAAAGCTTTACGACAAGGAGAAGTCTGTCTCCGATTGCAGTTCGTCCAAGTGTGCTAGCCATAGGTCAACAAGGTACGCTGTTTTATTGTCGAAATTTTGTAATTCAAACATACTCAAGTACTGATTTCTTTGTTTCCCGTAGGCGTTAAAAGAAAATGTGATTGGGATTCGAACGGTTCATCTTCTAATCAAATGGACTGCTCCCCCCAACCTGCAAAGCGCCCAGGTCTTTTGTCCTCGTTTAATGCTGCCGCTGGTGGTAGTGCAAGTCCTGTTAGTCAATTTTCAAGTCCTAGCTCTACTGTGGGGCCTGGTGGAGGATATCCGTTCAGCTACACCAACACTGCAGTTCATCAACAGTACTTCCCATTACAGCAAACTAATAACCCTTCCTCCTCCTCTCATCAACCACAGCAGCAGCAACAACAGCAGCATTCGTCAACCTCTTCATTCAATCCAAACAACTCTTCTACGTCTTCTAATTCCTTAATGTCCATGATTACAAATCATGTTGAAGACTCACCATTTTCAAACGAGACTGAATCTTCCGTTTCCTCCATTGGTGGATGCGACTCGCCATTTTTTCGACCTGTTGACTCCCCCCTCGCATCTGTCACCACGTCCCCGGACGACTCGCCGCGACCATCACATCCCAAAATATGAGGCAACGACTTATGGAAACTTTCTGAAAGTTGAATGGACAAAGTTTAAAGAAGAAAACCCCAATGTGGAACGGACCTGATTTGAAATTCGGCTATACATACATCTGTAATCGATTGTCTTTCTTCTGAGAAAGCAGTTGGATTATTATTTGTATCATCAATCAATTTGTGCTCAGTATAAAATACTAAATAATTAGGTTTATTAGATGATTTACATAGGTTGAGAGTAAAATAGTCGAGTCGTAATGCCTTTGTCAACTTTACTGAACTGTGTTCACGGTCTAATTTAAATGAAATTGATTGTAGTTGTTTAAAAATGTTGCGAGCTGGCATATCAGAGTTGACATAATATATCTGTAGATTGAGTGAAAGTCTTTAAAATTTTTTTAAAATTTTGTCTTCTTCCTCTTCTTCTTGCGAGAATCTGTAACGAAATGAAGGGCTCCGTTGACGGAGTGAGAGCGTGTAAAACTTTTACTGTCTACTTGTAAGCTCTATCAACCTACTTATCCTACCTCTCCTAAAAACCAGTATAATAAGTTAACAAAGAAAACAGAGAGGCTATTCGGTACCTATTATACCATACCATCATTATATACCCTATATTTAACGATAACATATGACATAGCTCCCCAGTACAAATCTGTGTAAGTATGAAACTCAGGATACGAAACGTATTGAACTTGAGTAAAAATTGAAATTTCTTTGATAGGACTCTACTTTTGGTTTGTACTTTCTCCCTTGTTGCTTGAATGTTTCCGAAGTAAAATATTTTTAAGGCTTTGACGAAATATATATCAGAATATTATGTACATACATATTTTATTCTCCTGGTCTTGTGCACCCTCCTTCCTTCCTCCTTCTAATTCTTGTCCCCTCTCTACTTCTTAATTGATATGTCTCTTAATACTTAGCTGAAGATGATAATCGATACAGTCTTTCAAAACCCAACTTGTTAAAAAAATATTTCCTTGTTGAAGAATTATAATTAGCGGAGGGCCTAAAAATAATTAAGGATAGCCCACTAGCTTTTTTTGGTAGGTTGTTGGTTGCTGTCACCCCCATTGAGACTGATGATGATGATAATTGAGTAGACGATAATATTGTTAATTTCTAGTGTTTAAGATTTTATTGACAAGTCGACGAGTTGTTTGAAAGAAAATAAATATAAAAGTCTTGCATTCTATGGCGCAATACATTCTTATTTTTAAAGATTTCTTTTATAACAAGACGCAAGCAGACCTCGCCGATTTGTTTGCAGAGCGTTTCTTAATCACTGCAAGGATCGCTCGAGTGAAGACCTCCTCCAAATTTTCTCTCGTTTTTGCAGAACATTCAAGAACGAATTGAGCTCCAATTTTATGCTTTAGTTTTTTTGCTTCAGCCAATTCCACAAGGGTCGAGATCGTTCCGCTTTCTTTTAGGTCGAGTTTTGTTCCTACAAGTACCACTGCCGCTCGCGGACAGTACTTCCGAACTATAAAGGATAGGAAAAAATAACATTAGTTTGGAAAGTCACATCATAAATATTATATCAAAATATGCAAAACCTTCAGGAATCCACAATGTTTTCACATTTCCGAAAGAGGTTGGGTTATCAATAGCGTAACATACGATGAAACAGTCCGTCTATGCATTTGGGGTAAATGTAAATTCATGTCTAAAAATTTGTTAGATAATCCATACTTTCGGATAGGAAAGGGGTCGCAATCTTGCGTATTCCTCCTGTCCCGCAGTGTCCCACCCATAGATAAGACCCATTTAGATTTTTCGAGCTAAAATCGCTCAAAATTCTCCACGAGGTCTTCTCTACGAATTCGTTAGCGATTCGCCATCGATTCGGCGGATATTTCGCGCAGAAGGACAACGCGTGATTTTGGGGGCTGGATGGCCACGGGCTTTTATTTTTTAATTTTGAAGATTATTATGGAGTAATAACAAATCAATAACGTGAGGAAGACAATAGTTAAGCCCAAATCGAGGGCAAAAAGATCAGTGGCCATACAGCCCCCAAAATCACGCGTTGTCCTTCGTGGAGAATTTTCAGCGATTGTAGCTCGAAAAATCTAAATGTTATCTGCGCACAGGCAAGTCGGATATTCGACATCTTGGAGGCTGATGTGCATGGGGTGAGTATCAAATCTGCAAAGATAACCAATATTTTTCTTATCGTCCAATTGCGCACGCAGCGTCGAAGGGATTGGCCATTTTGCATCAGGCCAATTCCCCAATCACGCTCAAATTCAGGAGCTAAAGCTATTCTGACATCAAGGGAGCATGCTAAAATAAAATTGAGCCACGACGACGGTCACCGACACGGTCTGGAGGGATTTTTCGACATTTTTTGCAAAGTCAAAACTTAATTTTAACATGAAGCTTCGCTATACTTCGCTTTGAAGTGTCCTTTTTTTATGCATAAAGTTTTCTACTTACACAGTAGGTAAATACTCTTCCGGAAACCCATTAATCGTGTACGACCTTAATAGATAAGAAAAATTTATTTTAATGATACTTCCGATATTTTAAATACTTTCCTTACATAAGCAAAGAGGTCTTGCCAACATTTCCATCGCCCACGACCGTAATTTTTAACCGTTTTGACCTTTCAGCTAAAGAAAGATGTTGAATTTTACCGTCACTGGAGACTGATTTCTTGGATGCTTTGTAATTCAAGGGAGGTGACGCCATTATTTATATTTAATTACAATTTTGTCAAGCTTTTCTGTTTTAATCTTTTTATGAAATGAAAATGTTGAGCATCAGTGTATATAAATTAAGATGACTCAAGAGAAGTGGGTGTCGTTGAAAAATTAATAGAAAAATAGGCTAATTAATTATTAAGTGGTAAGCAATTCTGTATTATGTAATTAACTCCTTAGTCAATGCCAAAAATGATAAATAATATGATAAAATTCGTTGTTTCAACTTGGGATTAACTCTACAAATGCACACAAATCAAACTAATTAATAATGCATATTTCATTAGTTAACAAATATTTTGGTGTGGCCAAATTTCATCTAAACCACAAAAGCATGACCACAAACTAGAGGAAAAATTGTTATCGGTATTTCAATATGAAATAGAACCTATTTTGCATAAACATAATGCCAAGTTGGGTAAAATGAAATGAGCAAAACCGGCCGGGAATGGATTTCACTTTGTTGACAATAAATAAATATTTTTTTGAAAGTGTGAAGTGAATTTTTGATTGCGATTTATATAATTTGATGTCATCAATGTCATCATCATGTCGTCGTGTTGTTCAGTAACTCGTCGTAGTAGACACTTTTGTAGCTTAAAATTAAAGGAAATTCCTTCATTTAGCGAATTTTTCCGACTCCAGCAATGTAGAAATTTTACCAATTCGCCAAAAACAGCGCCGGCAAAGCCGACTTATCTTAATGTGTTTGATCGCAAAGCCAAACTTTTGCAGCGACAACGAGCACTCGTGGGGAACAGTTCGGGAGTGTTTGACTATTTAAAGGACGAGGTAATTAAGGAATTCACTTACTTCATTTCATAAAGTCTGAAGTTTTTGTTGATTTGTAGTTTAATTACTGATTAAATTGTTTAGGTCGGTTTTATCATGGCTGACCGAGTGATTGACATAAAACGGGATTTGAGCACGGTATTGGACCTCGGCTGCGGAAAGGGCTATGTGATGAAGCATTTCAATAGCGTAAGGTTTGAACTACTTAGTAATTAAATCTAAAAAATGATTAACCATATTAATTATTGTGATTAGAGTGTTGTGGGGTCCGCAATTGCGACGGATAGCTGTCAGGAATTGCTTGACTCGGCTGAGGTACCTGAAGACATCCCGACCCATAAAATATTGATGGACGAGGAAAATATTACCTTTAAAGACAATTACTTTGATCTAGTCGTCTCTAGTCTAAAGTTCGTAAAAATAGAGATCCTACTTGAAGAACCGTATAATTTAATTGTGAATTATTACAGTTTACACTGGGTTAACAATTTACCAAAGACGTTCTCAACTATTCAAAGATGCTTAAAACCGGACGGTGCCTTCATAGGTGTGTAATGCAGAAATCTTGGAGAAAGTATGGTCATAAATTGATGATATTTTTACGTACTTTCTTTATAGGAGCAATGTTTGGTTGTCAAACCTTATTTGAATTGAGATGTGCATTACAGTTGGCTGAATTAGAGAGGGAAGGGGTAAGCACTCAAGATTTATCCAATTGTCATTTTTTAAATTGTTTAAAAATTAATTTTCTCCATTTAACCACAGGGAATGGGTTCGCATGTCTCACCATTTGCTGAAATTAGAGATATCGGAGGACTTTTAACGATTAATGGGTTCACAATGCTCACCATTGTACGTTTCAACAGAAAATATTCATTAGAAAATTGATTAATCAGTTAATATCCGCAGGACACACAAGAAATTAAAGTCGCTTATCCAACAATTTTTGAACTCATGGACGACTTGAAAGGGATGGCAGAAAATAATGCAAACTGGCGAAGGAAAATTAGAATAAATAAAGAAACTTTATTTGCAGCCGGGTCTATTTATCAACGTTAGTACAAATAGTTTAATATCTCAAAACACTTGGATTTGTTAATTAATATATAATATAATGTACGTCTTTCAGAAATGTATGGGAATGAAGACGGCTCAATTCCTGCAACTTTTCAAATAATTTACATGATTGCGTGGAAACCTGACCCTTCCCAGCCTAAACCATTACCGCAACAAAGGCCGGATGTGTCGCTAAAGGATTTGGATAAACTAAAGTAGACAATTCAGTCTTAATTTTATTTATGTTCATGCATAAACAGAAAATAATAGAACAAATACGATATATAGCAAAAATTAACTTGTTTAGTCCCACATTTTACCTAAATATTCAAAACCTTTGAAATATTCTTGTACAAAAATTTCTCTTCGACTTCCTTCTCCAATCCCAAATCTTTCACTTGATCCATCGTCGCTTTCCATCCAAGTTGCGGAAAGTTCGATCCGTAACAAACCTTGTCCTTTCCATACGTTTTCATGTAATGTACCAACTCTGGCGGATAGTAAGCCGGCAGATAGGCGGATGTATCAATATAAACATTTTCATGTTTCCAACAAAGACTGATCATTTCATTTGACCACGGGTATCCTATGTGGCCACCAACAATTTTTAGCTCGGGGAAAGTTAATGCAACTTGATCTATGTAGGGGATTGGTCGTCCCGTTTCAGATGGCATAAGTGGACCTTGAGAAAGAAAGAAAGAAAAAGTTTAGCAAATTAATTTAACAATATTGTCATGTCTTGTGTTATCTTGCTACTGGCCATTTGGCTCTCTTGCCTCCTTACCTGTATGACCAACTTGCGTAAAAAACGGTACATTTAGCTCGATACACTTGACAAAGAGGGGATAGTAATGTTTCTCATCTGGAGGAAGTTTCCACAACCAAGGAATAACTCTGAGACCCTTGAACCCATAATCTTTCACAGCTTTCTCCAACTCGAGACAAGCCTTTCTCGGGTTAAGTAAGTCCACTCCCGCAATCCCATAAAACCTGTCGGGATGTGCAGCCGTCCACTGCGCAACGACCTCATTGCTGATGCAAACTTGACCCGGTCGTGTCCACGCAGAGAGACAAACCTTATCCACGCCACCCTGGTCCATCAACGCGATCGTTTGTTCTGGTCCGAGCCCCTTCTCCAGCAGGGCGATGGGTGCCTTCGACTGCACAAAGAGACGACGCACTTCGGGCAAGGCTTTCAAAAAGTTGGGCATCGCTATTTGCGCCCAGGCGTCGATTGCTCGAATCGCCATTATGATTAAGTCAGTAAATATTTTGTTATCAATGAAAATGAAACAGCCACTTTCACCACAAATTCATGGTATGAATGAATGTATATGAAGACCTTTTATCCGCTTTGTGTACAAATAGAGACAAAGTCCAAAGTCCAAGCTGCATGGGCAATGCTAAACTTTTGCCATCATTTTATTGTATTGTTAAAATACATGCACAACAATCCATGCTCATTTACATACATGATAAAATCTAACTACATATACATACGATTGATTGTACACCATTTTAAATATACTTAATTAATACCATGATAATAAATGATTTGTTTCGTTTGGGTGGCATCAGGTCCTCGAAATATATATGTACAAGTGTCAGATATTTACATATTTATAAATCTATAATTAAATAACAATCACACCTTCCAGCGGCACACGCAGGTACACAGATTTCACAATTTTAGGATCAAGTACTCATATAAATAAGTTAAAATAAATCTATTCCTGCGTCGGGCTTTCTTCAACTCTCGTCAGAGACGACGACTTTATAAAAATCCTTCCCCCCGTTCTCGGACTAAGCGTAGACGTTTTATTGGATGCTGATACTTTTGTAGCTGATGATGAGTTGGGACTAGAAGTGGAATGAAGCTCTTTATTGTCTGATGATAATGATGAGGATTGTTGCAAAAGTGATGACGATGCTGTAATAATATTACTTTCTAACGGAGATAACGGAGCAGGCGGGGTTTTTGCCGGGGGAGGAGCAGGATGTCCCGAGGAGGACGACTTATTCGGACTAAAACTACTGTTAAACGAGAACGCGGAAGTGGGGGACGTGTTGGACGAGCATGATGACGTCTGATTCGGTGTGTACACTTTACACGGGACTTCTATCGATAGCTGGGGATGGCAGGAGGAGAACTTGTTATGATCCGTGATGAAGGTCTCTTCTAAAGACGGTGTTTTTCGGTAGGATGGTCTCGCCGGGGTCGAGCCACCGGGGATGAGGGGGAGGTAATAATTGGAGCCTTGGTCGAGGCTAAATTGTCTCCGGAGTCCTCGCATTGCGGGACGACCGTTTAGCAGTTGATGGGCAACCTGAGGGATAAATCGATTAATAAAAAATCAGTCATAAAATGATCATCGTCATCATCACCTCTTCCGCCGGAGACAAACACCGCATCGCTTCTCCATGCAGTACGGAGAAAGTTGGTCCTGCTTTGGTAGGATCAAGAGTGTTACTCGAACCACCACCAACGCTTCCACTTCCTTCCGTCGAATTTGGTCTGGAATCACGAAATCCTACCGATTTCGGGTTGAGAGTTTCCTGTGAGCTGGGAGGAATTCCGGTTCTTCCGTACAAAATTGATTTCTCATCCAGTCTACACGGGGTGGGAAAAGAGATGAGAGATTAACTTTCACTCGGTGCATTTGTATATTTATGAAATGGCAGATGAGACAATAATGTCGTTCGGCTTATCCGTCTGCTTAGATATTCAATTGACTCTTTACTTACCCGTGATCCTCACTTCGTTGTTTGGATTGGTTGTAAATAGGAAAATAAGACATTACATATTTAGTAAACACATAGTACATGATAATCAGTGTTTCGTTTTTTGCAGGTTTGCTACATGCAAAACAAGAAACTGGGAGAAAGTGCAAGAAATATGCGCCATGTAGCCACGCGCCGTGTGAAGTATAGCGGCGGCGCCTTGCATTTCCTTCAGGTCAAAATACCCGCAAGAAACCACTTTCTCCCCGTTATTTCTTGCAAGTGCTTACTTTCACTCGAAACACTAATAATAATTTCTTTGACTCACTTGAGTTGTGGCGGTCGTGGGAGTTCTTTGTCGAACCCTTCCCTCCCAAGAAGCCAATACGTCGACATTTTTCCTTTCCCCTTAATATCCGTGATCCCCCTGCAAACAACAAACCCAAAAAATAATAAATACATTGAAATGAAGAATAATGATGACATACACGGTCAATTCCTTAATAAACCCATTTAAACATCACATATCCTACATACATACATATCGGAAATGAACACGTTTTCATGCCCGGCTTTGTGCAAGCTATCAAATCTAATGCACAGGCTCAAAGAATGAATACATAAATGAAAAGTTGCGAAAGAAGAGAAGAGGGAGCGGATAAATAAATCGCTTTCATGCCGAATCACTCCTTAATCTCAAGCCCCCAGAAGCCCCCAAGTCACAAGAAGCGTATGCAAACTTAAACCACATAAAACTTGAGAAATCCCATCAACGACCGACATTACGTTCTCCATACTCGCCAACAAATAAGTGCATATATAACGTGCTCGAGAGAGAGAATAAGAACACGGAATAATAAGAAGAAAGCTGTAAATTCTTGTTAAAATGGTGCTGCCGCGGAGAAAGTGCAAATCCCTCCGCAAGAAGCACAAATCCAACCAGACACCAATCTTATTCAGATTGTTGTGCTTTTTCTCCCGGAAAATTGATTCTTGCTTCAACTAAGTAAGTAAGTAAATCTCGGTGCGAGAAGAGAAGAAAACAGCAATTTACATGGCGTGTTGTAGAGTTTAGTTGCTGGTGAAGAGAGATGAAAATAACCGACCAAGCCATCCATCCAGTAAATACGTATATGTAGCAACTCTGCACGTAGGTATATATATATAGGTCCTTATGTATGTAAGTACTCACCTGTATTCAATAACGTAGCCTCCAATGCTTTCCAATTTCGACTTGGTATTCGCCGAGATGTGGATTCGCCAGGGCGCGCCTGAAAAAACATGACAAATGGAAATGACAGACGGGAGGATTACTTACTTTCATATTGGAATTGCTCCTTCAGAGGATTCGATTATAAATCGTGTCATTAAAATGAATGCATATCCAGAAAATTTTACGTATTGGGTATGCTTTCAGCAAAATTTTGGATTTTAAGAGGACTTTACTTATTTATTATGGTGAGAGTAAAAGTATGAAAATTGTTGGATTATGCATAAAATGAGTCGCACTTTTCCCACAAAATGTCACGATCGCCCAGATTTTGTAGTAATTTTCTCTCTAAATTAACAAACTTTTAGCGAGAAACGATATTATTTACATACCCGTGGACTCCATTCTGGACGCTGTGTTTACAGTATCTGTTGAATTTCACAAGAACTGTAATGCAAGACTTTATCAATTTATTACATGTTTTAAAAATACTATGCATACCTCCAAACAAACAGTAGCGTGGCATCGTGAGTCCTACGACACCAGCGCAACAAGGTCCTGCAAAGTGTAAAGCAAAGTAAGTCAAAAGTAAATTCTACTTTGTTAATCCCCAAACTAGGGATCAGTTCAGTTTAGCGTTGTCCCCATTTTCCGTTCAAAGTTGGGATTCCCAAGCACTGGCCGCGGACAGAGGGACAATCTCTCCATCATCTGCCCATGTTAGATAAACCCCTCCCTCCCCTATCCTACAATGTTAATGCCCCCCGATGTCCCCACGGCTTCCGCGGCCACTGCTCCAAGCATAATGGGAACGACATGGCATGAAAACACAACGCGGGTGAGAATTCTCACTGCGTACGTGGTTGTTCTGTCCTCTTTCTGTCCTGTTTTTGCTTTCTCCTGCTTTCTCTTTTCCCAAAAGTTCAATCTTTCGCAAAATAAATGCGCACCTGTATGAATGCCAATTCTCAAGCGGAGCGGAGTGTATGGCAAATGTCGGATTTTGAAACGTCCACTTTGATGCAACAGATCCAACGCCATCGTGGCAATTTGGTCGGCATGGTCTGGCGAGCGGACGGGGACCCCGCCGACAACCATGTACGCGTCACCGATCGTCTCGACCTGTGTGAAAGACAACGACAACATAAACGTGTTTACCAGAGTTAATATTTAATCAAGTTGAGGAGCGAGATACATAGACCAGACACACGAATGGATGGATTTGGGTGGGTAGGCACCTACCTTGTACACGTTGTAGTCGTTGATCGTGGCATCGAACGCGGTGTAGAGATCATTCAACAGGTCAACCACTTCGAACGGGGTGGAGTACGCGGAAATGGTGGTGAAGCCGACGATGTCGCTAAAGTAGATCGTAACTTCGGAGAAATCTTCGGGATCCACGGGTAAGCCGAGCTTCAACTTTTCGGCAACCGTGCTAAATAATTGTGATAATTAGGGTTTTAGTTTAGGTAAAATTGTATCATACTCATTTATTTAATTTGGCTTTCGTAATTCTATAAATTCATGAATAATGAGTGAATAATTTTTCAAAATTTATGAATGAATAAATATTGAATAAATATTTATTCATTTCATATTAATTAATAATTTTAAAATAATTAAATATGAGTAATGAATAAATATTAATTATCAAATTTTGAATAAATGAATCATTAATGAATATATATATTTTTTAATTGAATGAATTTTGAATGAATGAAGAAATATTTTTGAACAGGTATGAGTAAGATTCGCGTGAGTTGAGAAAGTGTATGTATTTACCTGGGTAGCATCCTATTCAGCAGTTGTTCCGTCTTCCGCTTCTCGAAATCCAGTTGTTCCGTCCTTTCTCGAATCAATTCTTCCAAATTGTTCGAATATTTCTCCAGCATTTCAAACATCGTATCGACAATATTCGCCTTTCTGAATGATAAAGAAAGAATAAAAGAATCATCACGACCAGTTTCCCATCAGAGAAAAATTTGAGATTTTAAGGATGACATTGAATCTTCTTTACTCAGAAGGTAAAAAGAATCTTTTCCTATAAATCGTCCGCAATCAGTTCATACTCTGATGCACTCTAGTCCTCGTAAAGAATAAGAAATCAATAACTTTCTCACTTAAGATAAGCCTTTTACTACCCACTCCCTGACCAAAAGAAGCTACCTCGTTCCTTCGTGTGGACTTTTTTCACTCTCATCCCTCCCCAAAGTTTCAAGTTAGGTAGCTCTACTTTCTCCACTTTCTCCACTAGAGTTAGAGTTGGAAAAGTGTCGACTCGAGTCAAATGGGATTTATTTACAGGAGGACGAGAGCTTTATATCGGTGAATCAAGTCACCTCAAGTTTTCTGCCATGCTTCTACTGCTGGGATGACTCCGTGCTTCTAAAAGATTAGTCTAAAAGCCATTTCCGCTTTAGTTTACTTTCACTCGGTCAAGCTACAAATATTTAGTCGTGCCTAGATCGTGGAGAGAACCTGACAGATTAGCTGGAGAGAAGAAAGCACCAAGTTTGTATCTAGGCAAACCGTATTTATTTGGCTAATCTTCACTCCAGCCACTCATTCAGTTCGCTGACTATTTACTAAAGACTTTTCCATTCTTAAATTATTTTCTGCCTTGGTAAACTAAATCCTACCACATTTTCATTTCTTGGGAAAACTATTTTTCCCACGATAACAAGGGAGGTCTCGCAGCGTATGCTCTCCGATTTTGAGCAAAATAGTGTCAATCGATCACAAATTTAGCTAATATGAAATTTGCTAAAGCGACGATCTCCCAATGGGCACGTTTGGCGAAGATATTTGCATCCAAAGAGGAGAAAACGCGCCGAAATTTGACAGATTTTACCCTTTCCAAATTTACTGCACGTTTTCTCCTCTTCGGATGCAAATATCTTTGCAAAACGTGTCCTTTGGCAGATCGTGTATTTTGCAAATTTCATCCTAACTAAATTTTTGGTTGATAGACACTAGTTTGCTCAAAATCGGAGAGCATACGCTGGTCGACCTCCATTGTGAGTGCTTGGGATAATAAAATGAATGTTGTTTCGTCATCCGGCTTGTCTGGCCAAGACGTTTCGTTTACGGCGTAGTACACAACTTATGAGTTGCAAAGAAAAACCAAAACTTATTTCTTTACGCGATGTGAATGCATACCTGCCGTGATTGAGAGTTTTGAATTGGTCATGAATCTGGACAAAGTCTGGTCGCATTTCAGGAATTTCGTTCCAACATTGACGCTAAAATATTATTTATTAAATACATTTTATTACATACATATTTAGCCAAGATGTTATATATTATTTTACCATTATGTTGATAGCTTCGGGTGGAGCAGCCTGTTTACTAACGGAGGGTCGGATTAGCGGTGGTGGTTTTCGTACTTTCTCCAAAATCTCTGCGGAAGCAAAAACATACATGAATGAACATTTGTCAAGAAGGGTGAGAAAAGCTGATGACAATAATTTGTAAAAGAGGAGTATATAGCACAAGCCTGTCCCACATTCGAGTCAACGTGCGTGCTCGCCAACAAAGGATTGGATCGTTAGCGAAAAAAATTGGACGGATGTCATTGTTGTCGACCAACCCCGAGAAATCTTATTCAATTAAGTTAAGTGCTACTCCTGTGATGCGTCACTATTATTGGACCGGATTGGATTTCACAATTGAATTCTTGTCCGGTTATCCATTATTGCTCGTTATGCATTGTTGGATATATAATTTGGGTAGAAATTCGTCTCGCCATGCAATCAGGTAGGTATTTAATACGTACGGTACTCACAATGGAGGTCTCCATACGTATGCTCTCAGATTTTTGACTAACTAGTGTCAATCGGTCACATATTTAATTTATATGAAATTTGCAAGAGATATAATCTCCGAATGGTCACGTTTGGCAGAAAAATTTACATCCGAAGAGGAGAAAACGTAAAGAAAACTGAAAAAGTGTAAAATTTTCCAACTCTAAGGGCCCATTTTCTCCGCTTAGGATGCAAATATCTCTGCAAAATATGCGCATTGACAGATCGTGTCGTTTGCAAATTTCATATTAATTAAATTTGCGATCGATTGACACTGATTTCGTCAAAATCTGAAAGCATACGCTGAGCGACCTCCATTGTCAGACACTTACTTACACATTACTGAATACACTCACCTTCTGTTGAAATGTTCAACATGCAGTAGGGTTCACCTCGAACGAGGACTTCCTGAAATATAATTCCGAAGCTGTAAACATCCCCAGGTTGAGTTCCATGTTTGCGTAAACCCTCCTCCCGCAATAGCTCGGGTGCTGTCCACAAGAGTTCTAAAACGAGACCAATCATTATTACGATCAGTCAGCCAGACGGACAGACAGACGGAAAATAAGGATGTGCATGATCACGACCTCAACTCGAGAAATTATGGCGTCTCGGTTCACTTACCTTTATTCGATCTTGTCAAGAGTGGCAGACCTTGGTTATGGTGGAAGCTGAGCACCCCATAATCCGTTATCTTTAACACCCATCGGGCATCGATTACACAGTTGTACGACGTGAGAAAACCGTGAACTCGAACCAAACTCGAGTGCAGGTACTTCATTCCCTGAATAACAAGACAAAAATTATGGAGGACCAACACCACTTCATATTTTGTACCATGTCCCGAATACGCAATGAAATCTTATCATGTCAACAAGATTTGTGCCCCTTTTCACTTAAATTTTCTGACTTTGTTAGACCAACCAGTGGCCGCGGAACAGAGGGACAATGTCCCCACGGCTATTCGATGTTATCATCATCTCCCCATGTTATATGAACCCCTGCCTCCCATATCCTACAAGTTAATGTCCCCAGATGTCCCCACGGCTTCCGCGGCCTTTCGTGAAAGAGTAAGTAACGTTCGGAATTCTAATGCGATAAATTGAAACCTTGTGCTCGAAAAGTCTGTTAAAAAGTGAGGTGAAATATTGACCTTCTATAAAACCCACATATTATTTCGACATCATAACTCATCCTAGAACAAAAGGATCGAGAGTGTAAAATGTTGGGCCACCACTTCACGCCAAAAAAAGATGAGATTCAGTCAGAAGAGAAAGTCGGGGAAGAAGAAAGTCACGTTGAAAGCACGAGGGACCAAAATGCAGGGCAAAGTTTGCCATCTCTTTCTGCCATTTCGTATTGAGAGGATGAACCAATCGACAAGAAGAAGGAACAGGTTTCGATAAGTACTTATCGTGTCCCACACTTTCATCTCGTATGTTCCACATCAAATGGTATAAATTCGCAATAGATCGTCGTTCCCATCCTCCAATCGGAGAATTTCCTGTTCCTTTTGTTCCCTGATTTTTAGTCGGATTCTTCTCCAGAATCTCATTCGGATTCACAAGTGCGGAAAAAGTGATAACGGGAAGAAAGTCACAAGAAAGGGAAAATCTGGGTGCAAAATTACCATTCTGCTCTTCCGTGATTCTATCCTATTCCACTTTTCTTTCCACTACTAAAACGCATTTCATTTTCATTTTTCTGGGAAAACGTGCGACTTACTTTTTTTCATCGGGTGGAAAATATCTATGTACTGAGCGAAAGTAGAAAAGCCTTCTTTTGTTAATTCACTCACTCACTCGGAGAGATAAGCACGCTGACTCTCACTCAGACACTGACCAGGCAAAACATTACCCTGTCAAGAAGTATGAAACGTTCCGTTTACTGTGTCTGGTCTTTCGTCCTCAGTGTTTCGGTGAAAGTAACCACGCGCAAGAAATAACGGGAAGAAAGCGGTTTCTTGTAGGTATTTTGACCTGCCAGAAATCCAAGGTGCAGGAAACTACGCCACGCCGCTATAGTTCGTATAGGGAACGTGGCTAGATGAAGCGTATTTCTTGCACTTTCTCCCAGTTTCTTGCATCTTTTTGCTCTGCAGGGCAAAAAATATAGCAAACCCGAAGGAAACTAAACACTTGGTGAAAGTAGTCATTGCTGACTCCGTGATTTGTTTGAAAGTAACAACCTCCAAGAAATAACTGCAAGAAAATGGTTTATTGCGGATTTTTTGACCTGCAAGAAATGCAAGACGCAAGGAACTACGTTACACTCTTCATACGGCGCGTGGCTTGGTGGCGCATATTTCTTGCACTTTCTCCCAGTTTCTTGCACCCCGCATTTCTTGCATTTATTCCTTTACAGTGCAAAAAATGTAGCAAACCCACCAGAAACGAAACACTGCTCATCCCGATAATGAAGTACAGATAAATGCTCGAGATGAGATTAAATCGTGGGCGTATATAAATAAGTACACGTTGGCGGGTGTACGACAACAACAAAACTGCAAGCTTTTCTTTCCACAATAAATACGCGAAAAGTGTATTGCAACAAGTCTTAGGACATAATGATTTCACGGCGGCGGCCGTTGTTTCTTTGGTCCTATTGTTTTTTGTCCGTGTTTTTCTTACCCGAACTAAATCCGTGAGAAGGGAAAGTTTGAAGGCCCAATCGAGCTTGATGTCTTGTTGTCGGATGATATCATGGAGCGAGCCACGGCTGCAGTATTCCCAAACCTGGGCTGGGATCCCCTCAGTCAGCACGCCGATAAGCGCCACCAAATTCTCATGACGCAGACCGTGAATCTATAGAAAAAGTGGACAAGTAAATACTTATTCAATTCACAATGGAGATGAACTCCACGTGAAAGACGCGCATTGTTCGTGGCACAGAAAAAAACATGGTAGTTTTTCATGTTTTTTTTCCTGTTATGTATGTATGGCCACATTTTGTCTTAAGATTAAAACTTTTATTATGCACGTTTCTTATTTGACGTTTCATATTTCGTTTCATATTTATTTTTCCACTTTGAAAGGAGATAGAGATGTACCATTTCGAGAAACAATGGGTTTTCTCATTTTTCGCAGATATGTAAAATTTAGAAAGTCAAGGACATTCATTCTTCGTGATGAATGCTAAAAAAATGTGTGCGAACATAAAAATACCGAAATACACTCTTAGAAATCCGGTATTAACATAATACCAACTGGTATCATATGACTCTACTAAAATGATATTAACAAATAATACCGGGTAGTAAGAACTCGGTATTAAAGTTTTAACATATCGGTAGCAAATTTTTACGGACCGGCATACATATATAATTTTAATACCAAGTGGTAGCAACTTTACCACCGAGAAATAAATACCCGCCTGACTATACCAGATTTCACACAGTGTAGCATTTTTTTTACCACCTGGACTTTCCTTCATCTACCCATTCATTCATGACTCTGAGATCAGTATAAAAACCATCCAGGAGAGAAAAGAAAACCAATCTTTTTTTTCAGTAACGCGTCCTTGCTCTGTTCCAGGAAGAAGATGCGAATTGGATGATACCGATCTTCTGTGACTACTATGTGGCCTAACAAAATTGGAGAGAAAGCTGGAAACATAAGGTTTATAGGCAGGTATCTAACTCACATTCCAGCAGAAAATGTAACCAAGCTCGAAGCGAATTTCCCCAATCTGCTATATATAGATAGCTCTTACCTTGACTTAAATCTCGATATATATAGCAAAGTAATGCGATTTTATTGAAATTGAAAGCCCAATCAGGCCAATAGAAATTCAATCGAAGTGAAATAACCTAAAGAACGGGCAGAGGAAAGCCTATCCTTCCCAACTAATCGAAAAAGCTCATTGATTCCTCCCCCCAAAAAGATCGTCCACCTTCCCAAACAAATCTCTAATTAAGTAAGGTAACGCAATTATCCTCTTAATGCGACGTAAGTAATTATCCCCCCAAAGAACCTTCCTTCCTAATTTGTATCCAGTACGTATAGAAATTCTTACCGTTTCCAGTACATTCATCGCCTTCGTTTTTATCTCGAAAGGTTCGCACGTGGGTTCACTCAATTTCCGGAGATGGACCAAATCGCCCTACGAAAAGGAAAATAACATGAGATTCCAGTTAGTCCGAGGGGATTTACGACTAACTACTTTCTCTCCACAAACCGCCCACACACTCAGCCAACTAGTACCCTCACCTTATATCGGGCCTGATTTTCTGACAGAATTATGGAGTCATTCTTCATGTTGGCGATGCTCAGGGTTTTCTTGAGAGTTTGTTGCGGTCCGGCCACCACACCCCCGACTTTAAGCAAGTCTGGTCTCTCAGTACTGCTGCCAAGAGCAGCAGCACCAGCAGCAGCAGTGGCAGTTCCGCAACCAGAGGATGAATTTTCCTCTGCGGATGAAGCTCGAGAAAAGGAGAGATTGCTATGTGGATCCAAAGAGTTTTGTTGTTGTTGATGGTGAATTGCAGTGGTTGTTGTCGTCGTCGTGGTCATGGTGGAGGGAACCCCTTCCAGGGAGGGCTGTACCTGGGGCAATAAAAATCATCATGTCAAACTCAATGGACATTATTATCATCATCATCATCAAAACGGAGATTGGGGTGAAAGTCTTTATATCGATTGGATTATATGACCCAATAAATTGTGAATTTCTGACTCAATTTCACTATCTGGGTACCAGTGGTTGCGGAAGCTGTGGGGGCATTAACATTGTAGGATAGGGGAGGGAAGGGTTTGTATAACATGGGCTGATGATGGGGACATCGAATAACCGTGGGGGCATTGTCCCTCTGTCCGCGGCCACTGCTGAGCCGGTACCTACATTTTTGTACATAGTTTCACTTACAGATTTATTACTCGAGATGATGGGGAGCACATTGTTGCTAAAGCAGATATCCCTGCTCGTCAAGAGAAGTTTGTACGGTCCTTGGGATCTCTTGACGAGGCGATTCTTTTGCGTGGTGGTTGCCGCAGAGTTATTTGTGGTCGTGTTGTATACGTGATTTTGATACTTTTCCCTGAAAAAATACAACCAAAATTCATCAACTTTCCCTTCAAAGTTGTCAAACACCATCTCAAATACAACACAAATTGGGAACAAAAGTCATTTCAAGTTTTCAAAGTCATAAAAAAAGTTTGGAAGTCAAAGGAGGCGGACTTTTACATTTTTATGTAGTGCTTGTTTTCTCCTATGTACGTAAATCGTCATGTTTCTGGCTCATGGTCATGTTTTTTTTAAAAATGGACATATGTTTTAGTGACAGGTTTAACAAACAAGTGGTGGAAAAAAACTTGAAACTTTCATCCGTCCGTAAAAACTGCGCTTTGTTGCACTGCATCAAATCCGTTATTCATTTTAAACTGAGCGAATACATAATCAAAAGACTCTGGTTTTCGTTTGGATGTCGCAGATCTGAGGCAAACCTCGTCATTATTCTGCCAAATATACCGTTATTCTGCTCCCTTTGAACTCTGATTGATTGATTGATCTCGATTTTAATGGATGCACTTTGATCAGATTCGTTCGTTACAAAGGCAAGTTGACTTGACGAGCACATGAAAAGAAGTGGTGGCAAGAGGAGCATCAAAATCTGTCAGAAGTGGAGTAACTCAGGCATATTGTTCTTTAAACAGTGTTTCCCCCAAAGAAAATTAACTTTGCTTGCTGGCTGCTGATGCACTTCTGAAGAAACAATACGTACGCAATTACAGAGAAATGGAATACCACAGCAGACTTCTTGACAGAGGAGGATTTATCGTTCTGTAAATAGAAGTGGGCAAGGACCAACCCGACCAAAACCAGGAAAACCACGAGTTATTTATCACTTGCAACTTTCACCACCTGCCTGATTTAGGCACACATTCCGTGTAGCTGAGTAAATAGCAAACAAAAAGTCAATTTTGAATCTGTATACACAACACGATTCGTTTATTTACTTATTTTATTTCGTGGAACAAAACTTTGCAAGTAATAATAATCTTATTTGGTTGGAAAGGAATTTCTTTGTTTTGCGCAAATTGAAATATTTCATCTAGGGAAATCAGCGCTAAGTAAGCAGATATTCGACTCTCAGTTCTTTTTATTCAGGAGTTTTAGGTGAAACTTTGTAAGGTGATAAAATTTAATTTCAAACGTACTTGAGAAAGTGGGTGAAAATAAAATTACACTGTTAGAAATCTGGTAAAGTCAGGCAGGCATTGAATTCTCGGTATTAAAGTTGCTACTGCTTGGTATTAAAATTATACGGGTCTGTACAAATATGGTAAAACTTTAATATCGAGCTATAACTTCTTATCTTATCTTAACTTCTTATCCACTTTGGTAGTCATACATATATATGAATTCCGCTTGGTATAATTTTAATCTGGATTTCTAAGAGTTATTTATCATCTTTTTGGAAATTGTTAAGGTTAAAAGTCAATTTTCGTATAGCTTAATTTTCGCGTATTTATAAGGTGTATAGGTCTCCAAACGGTGTAAAAGCAAATTGGTTCAGAATTATTTTAAAATACTCACCTTGCATAATTTGCGCCCCACAAAAAAAGTCCAGTGACTGCAATCGTACCTAAAACAATGCATAAATATGCATAATAATCATTAGTTTGGCCCATAGTTTTACACAAAAATGAAAGAAATCGTTGAATCGTACCTGCAATGCATCCCATGATTTGTGCCCATCCCACAATCGATCCCCGATTTTTCCCTATTGCAAAAATAAGTAGAACTAATTATTCCTGGACAATTGTGACCTTAATTAAAACCATATTCATTATACAGTTTTTTTTACATAAACCTATCCTCATTTTTCAACTAACTAACTAAACATGTAAATAATTTTGGCTAGCTCAAAAATGCACACGTCAACCAATTAAACCGCTTCATTAAACCTTTTCAAGAAAACAAAAGTGCTATTACCTTTTATTACGCAATTTCTAAAAGGCAAAGGTCCTATTCAACCGGAGTCATTAACGCGTAGTGCATATACCGTTCAATTAGTTTGCAATTTGAAGGTGCATTGTCATATCGGATACGACCAGTGGCCGCGGAAGGGTTGGAACAGAGGGACAATTTCCCCACGGTTATTCGATGTCCCGTCATCTCCCCATGTTATACAAACCCCTCCCTCCCCTATCATACAATGTTAATGTCCCCAGATGTCCCCACAGCTTCCGGGGTCACTGGATACGAGAGGACTCATACATACGTGTCTCTCTCACCAAATGTGCGCTAATGCCACCAAAACGAAAGCACTTCTTCATCCTAACCTCATTCTAAATTCATGTCTTAATGGAGCAAAGTAAAAGTAGCTTTGTGCGAGGCATGGATCATTAATAGCTATTGATTTAAGGCGTTGTAATCGATTACTTGTATATTCCGGTCTGAATGGGTGCCAACATATCATCGCTCTTCGTGCAAAAGTTGTTGGTTGAGAAACCAGTCGGAAACAGGAGTCAAACAGTTTTTTTCAGTTTTAAACAGTTTCTAAATCAGTCGGAAACAGGTTGTCGGATGCACTTTTGGGAAATATGAGACGTCATAAGCATAACATTGTGTCACATTTTTCTCGCATTTTCTTTCATCTGATAACTTATGTTTCTGAATGGTTTTGAGGGCGACCACTTTTGTACGAAAAGCGACGATATGTGCATTCTCATATGTATACATATATTTGTCTCCCTGTAATTTAACCTGCTCAAGAAATGTAGTCATTTCTTAATTACGATGCCTACCTACACATAATCGCCCAATAACAAGTTACAAAACACTCCGCTTTCGTCGTGGGGACAAATTAATAATGAAATGAACATACCGAAGTTTCGATTATTGCCCCGATCCAGGAGCCCCACTTCGGAGTGATGACTGTGATGGTGGCGTTCCCCCAGAGGGCTGGATTGGAGTGGGAGGTTGTCACCAGGAACCAGATTTACGACCGGGTGCCACCTGCAAAAACCCGGCTCAATAAAATCTGGCTAATCAATCAATTCCGGGACAGCACATAGGACGACGACTGATTCTGATTGGGTGCGTATTTATGTACATACGTAGCCAGTTAATCAGCAAGTTCGTAATGATCACATCAATTTGACAGCAAAAATTAGTAATTGGCAATCTCCATCGGGCAAATAGATTTTGTCTGTGCGACAGAATCAGGGTTTCGCGTCGTGGTTTTAAATATTGTGCAAAACAGCGTACAAAACGGGTTTTAACTAGTTTTGGACACCGAATTTAGGACGTCCAAAATGTCCAAAAATGTCCAAAATAGAAAATGGGGCAACATGTTACAAGTTCTTAATTAGATTATAATCAGTGGACTTATATGTGATCTCCTATTAATTTTGAGCGTTTTGTCGCGTAATATGGCATGATTTAGAAAATTTCTGAATTTCTCACAAGAAAACATGTTAAAACAAAAGTTCTTCCGAATTTTGTGTTCTTACGCACCAAATAATGCTCAAAATTTTGTGCCTGTCACCTGTGCATTTATTTGCAAGAAAGTCGTTAATAATGAACTTGCAACAATTTGCCCTATTCTACAATGTTACACATTTTTCAGGCATTTTGAGCAGGTTTGAGGTTTTGGATGGTGAAAGCGAAACACTGAATCTTGATTTTAACTCCCTTCTTCTCTTCGACTTTCCCTTAATTCCCGAATTTCTGATCAAACCTTGGCCCAAAATCAAAATGCCCTGGAACTATTAATCATCATAAAAATTTAAACTTAATAAATTCTGACACGTTTTTGATTAGACTGGATCGTCGGGATGAGAGATGGCGAAGAAATTCATTCCATCATGTCGTGAAATGAAGAAATGAGAAAAAAGTAGATTGCATAATTTCATCCATCCAAATTCCAAATCCGACCAACTTACCGGTCCTTCTCGAACTTGAAGACGAGAAAGCGGAATGACAAGGGCTTGAATTGGAGGTGGAATTGCTGCTTCTTCTCCGCTTTCGCCTCGTCATCCCGTCGCCTACTGATTGCATTTGGTCCTGATTGATCATCTTCTTCATCCACCTCATTTTCTCTCATCCGTTTCCATACGTCGTATTCCATCGATACCTTCATACTTCGCAGGATGAGGCGGGCCAATAACGGCTCCTGTGACGAGCAGAGGACCAAATCAGTCACTATTTTCATTATCTTGTCACTCAGTTTTTCTTCACAAGAGTCAAAATTAGATTGATAATTCGTTATAAGAATAAAAATGAGGAATATATGACTCGATTGGGGAAGAGATGATTGGGGTAAGGTGAGACTGAGGATTGGTGAAAGTTTTCGTAAATATTTGCAATAAAATATGCAAGTTACCAACTAAACGAGCATTTCGGGATAGTTAAACGAACATTCAATAATTATGGTTTGATTATTTAAATGATATGCCTGTCCGCGATAACCTTTGCATTAAAAAAAAGCTTCTATTTAAAAAAATCAAACCATAAATGATTTTGTCCTTGGCGTTATCGCAAATGGGCATGAAAACGCTGAACAATTCAGCACGCTTATCTTCCCTGTCAACTGCACTTATTTTTTGGTTGGATAACTCAAATCCCATACATTCTTTCATAAACACTTTTTAATGTACATGACTTGTCTCTAAGTGAAAGTGAAAGTTCGCAAAACGAAAAATTCTAGTTAGTCCCAAACCTCAGGGGACATTCATAAGCCGAATTTTTAGCACTGTATAAAAGGACCCTGCCTCCTGCACGTCATTCCTTATGTAATAAATATTACGAAATTCTCCATCCCATGAGCAAATAAGTACAGTTGTACTTTTAAAATCCGCCCACTCAATCATTTTATTAACAGTAAAGCTTTCTCTCACCAAAATCCTCTGCTTTGAAGAACTGCTCCGATCTGCGGGTTCAAGCGGAATAAATTCGGCAAAACTTTCCCACGAGGGTCGCATCGCTTCCTCCGGTTCTGGCGACGAGGACGACGACTGGGCTCCTCCCTGCGACTTGAAATTGTACGGGTGTGGATGCGACAAAAGGGCCAGGACGACCGGATTCGATCTCGACTTTTGGTCATGGTCATGGTCATGATGGTCATGTGACGAGTGCATGACGACGTCAAGCGGAAGTGGCCATTCGGGCAGGAGGACGAGAGGGAGCGGACCTCTGTGATAAGACGGGGGTGCTTTCACCCGTTCAGTCTTTGGGTTTTGGTGCGTAAAACCGTGGTCGTATGAAATGCATAGAAAGATGCCTATGAAAAAGAGACAAGAAGTGGATATTATTACGAAACGGAAAGTTTGGAGGAGTAAGTTTGGACACGTTGTGAAAGTTGTTTAACATATTACGTGTGCGTACTATCACTTTCACCAGTGGCCGCGGAAGCTTGAGGGGACAGAGGGGCAATGTCCCCATGGTTGTTCGATTCCCCATCATCTCCCCATGTTATACAAACCCCTCCCTTCCCTATCCCACAATGTTAATGTCCCCACCGCTTCAGCGGCCACTGCTTTACACCACCCACCTTGAAGTTTCTCCACGACTGGAGCATACTGGGGCAAGTTTACATCCTCATACTTTGCCAGAATCACGATAGAATTGTTCGTGTCTGGGTCGAGATTGCGATGCTGTTCGAGAGATGATCCAATCTCGTCGCAGTACGGACTTTTATCTGTGAGAACAGAAAATGGTATGGTGAGAACAAGTTCGTCAACCTGTCCCGTCTGGGTATTAATTACATTAATAATCGCAAAATAGAATTTCGTGTCACCACCAGTCCCACAAATCATATCATTGAATATCAAAACCACAAAGTAATTGACCACCCATAGATTTGCAATGAACGATTCATTCCTTACCCGCTTGTAGCTTGGCGAAACCAAAGTTTCTCCAGGACAAGTGTGTCACGAGACGATTAATTGCTAATATCACATCAGTGGGGGCTGGTTTGATGGAGACCACTCCGGGCATCTGCATATATACAGAGAAATACAGAAATATGTACATAAGACAAAGGATGAGTAAGATAAGCAGTGTTTCCGGTGCAAATAACCACTTGCAAGAAATGACTGCAAGAAAGTGGTTTCTTGCAGGTATTTTGACCTACAAGAAATTCAAGGCGCAAGAAACTACGCCCCGTCGCCATACGACACGTGGCTAGATTGCGCACATTTCTTGCACTTTCTCCCAATTTCTTGCACCTCGCATTTCTTGCGTTTCTCCCTTCGCACTGCAAGAAGTGTAGCAAACCCGCAAGAAACGAAACACTAAAATCTAAATGCGTAGGTCCCATCTTGTCCTCATCTTCAATTTCAATTTACTTTACTAGTTCGTCCACCATCTCACAAACTTCAAAGAAATTACTCCCAACTCAAGAAACATATCTTCTTCCCCGTCATTATTACTACTTGTCCGTATGTAAGTACATACTGCCCGTCAATTTCAGGAGTCATTTACTTTGACAAATTTAATAAACGAACGACTCGTTAAGGCAACTTTGGTATGCAGCATTATCTCCAAAATGTCACGAAATACCTTTGGACACGTCCACGATGTGAAATGTCGTCCCTGTGAGTGAAGCAAAGTTGCGGCCGTTTCGCACAAGTAATGAGGTTTTAATGAGCCCACCATTTGTCCAGCGCTCTCCTGCTTGGCTGCAAATATAAACTCCAACAATCCCGAACTTTTGTCGCAGATTTCTGCAAAGAAAAAGAAGAAACAGTCTCAAGAGACTTTTTCATCCATCTCCAGCCGTTCCTGCTTTTCGCCAGTCCTTTAAATGTGTGCACTTTAAATTATTTCCACTTTTCGAGCAAAAGCGTTCGTTCCATTCCTCGAAACGTGAATGAAAAACCAATAGAGTGTCCTAATTTAAATTGCGTCCTTATCTCGAAACTTTTTGAACCCCGGCTTGAATTTTGCTAACTCAATTATCAAAATTGAATTGGAATTTGGGCAAGGAATCGCTTTCACTCGGTGTACACACACATAGAGAGAGACGAACTTGTGGAATATCTCCGATAATCCGGACATCCAACTTTTATCTATCTCCCACTCGCTCCTCCATTTTTTCCCCCTAATCTCCAAACTTCTTACATCATCACGTCCAACCAAAGTTGAGGAGTTGAGAAGAGTACAAAAAGTTGATAAAAATCAGTCATTTTATAAAATTATCTGTTTTTCAGTCCACTCTCCTCAAAATAAGGATGACAGACGGGAGGAAGGCAGACACTTTAAATTTTAAATGAGGCTGACAAATAGGATTCAAGCGGAAGTTGTTATTCTCTCGCTCTCTTCCCTTATCTCGCACTCCATTAAACTAAACCTAATTTAGAAAATAGAATAAATTCCACGATGAGATGATGAGGAGACAGACAAAACTGCAAATTGTCGTCCTTTCCACGACGACTTTCTCTTGCAGAAGAGAAAAGTCATCATCACGGAGAAAATGGGAAATGCAACGACATCATATTCTCAAGAAGTGGTACGTACTTATTTGTGGTCCTGCATAGAAAAGCAGCAGCTCTCTCTCGAGGTTTAGCTTTTGTCAGGCTAGACCAACTTTCTCTGCTCCTTTTAGTCAACAAAATTCCTGTGTATACTCAACGTCAACTTTCAACAGGAGAAAAACGAGAGGGAGGGAGGATGACGGCTCGTTGTTTTGTTGAACGTTCCTCCCCCGTGTCATGTCATGAGATCAAGTCGACGAGTAAAAGTCAGTCACTGGAGACTCGACATGAGACGGATGATGGAACGTGGACGTGGACGTGGAAAGGAGAATAAATAAAAATAAATAAAATTGAGACTTTTTTCTCCTGAAAGAGAAAGTTTAGTAGGTACTTATGCTTCGAGTCGGTTCGGAAGGGAAAATTCATACCAGGAAGACATTCACTGGGCAGTGGCCGCGGTAGCTGTGGGGACATTAACATTGTGGGATGGGAGAGGGAGGGGTTTGTATAACATGGGGAGATGATGGGGACATCGAATAACCGTGGAGATATTGTCCCTCTGTCCACACCCACGCTTCCGCGGCCACTGCTCACTAGGCAAAAAATAAATAAATATTTTGCACTGTATTGATTTTGCGGAACTTTCGTAATCATCGTCGTCCTCGTAAACAAATATTATTGGTCTTTTCAACTAAAAAATCCTTCTCAAAATTGCATGCAAATTGCAAATTCAATTAAATGAAACTGGATGTCCGCGTCATTTATATTCATGACATGTTTTTTTCTCGTCGTCATTATGGCGCAGCTACTTACTATTCGACAACAATATTGAATTTTGGGTGGTGGCAGATGTGCCCAGAATTTGTGAATTCTGGGGACAAATTGTGATGGTGTATGGAGCATATTTTCCAGTCCTTTGACCATCGGACATGATATCCTGCTTATCAACATTCTTTTAGTATGTAATCATCGGTCATCCATCAACCAACCACTTATCCATCAACCGACGGAAGTCTCACTTTGTTGGGAAATGTGAGACACCCTCAAAGTACGTCATGATCTGGCAGTCGGTTTAGTTTAGAGAGTGTGTGTGGTCGAGCGAGAATAGTTTTTTTTTTGAGTTGCAGTTTTTTTGAAAAATTATAATCATAATTTTCGAAATTTCTTTCTTTTGTGACAACTTACGTTGGCCAAAAGGCAATTTAGAGCGAAGATGACCAAGTACTCCAGAGAACCAGAAAACCCGAGCAAATCTGTCAAGGCGAGAGGTACTAATTTGAGGGTGCATTTCAAGGTAAGCAGAAATTGAGAAACATATGGTGTATGGAAAGTTGACAGTACTGGATTTTTTGGGATAATTATTTAATTGGTGTTATTTAATTGTTCCAGAACACGCATGAAACAGCTGCTGTCCTGAAAAAGATGGCCCTTCCTCGGGCGGTTCGATATTTGAGGAACGTTATCGAACGGAAGGAATGTGTCCCGTTTAAACGCTATAATGGCGGTGTTGGCCGTTGTGCACAGGTATGGCTTAATTAATTATATGATAATTGAACTTTACTAACTAATTAATACTGTTTCTATGTTAAGGCTAAACAATGGGGCGTAACTCAAGGACGTTGGCCTCAAAAGTCGGCCCGATTTCTGCTCGATCTTCTTCGAAATGCTGAATCCAACGCGGAAAACAAGGGGATGGACTCTGAAAGATTGGTGATTGAACATATTCAGGTCAACCAGGCGACCAAAACTAGACGACGAACTTATCGTGCACATGGTCGTATTACAGGTAATTCGAAAATATATAGCTAGATATTTATCATACGTTCAAAATTCAATACAATTCGATTCATTTTTGACTGACCCTTATGTTTATATTCATCTTACTTACAGCCTACATGACCAGTCCTTGCCATATCGAAATGGTTCTTACCGAGAAGGAGGACTACGTCGCGCCAGCCAAGGAAGAACAATCAGCCGCCCGAGTTAAAAAGCTCAAAAAAGCAAAACTCTCGAAAAAGAAACTACAACGACAATTGCTCAACAGAAACTAATTCGTAACATAGAAAAACTCCTATTGTTCCTACATTTATTCTCGTAGAATAAAAACAACAAAGCGTTTTTCTTGTTCTGTTATAACAATACAAAAGTTGAGTCAGTGTTAAACAATTCCTTTTAATCTTGTCATCATTATAAAAGGTTTCCAAAATTTGATACGTATCTCGTATTGAGTGACTCCCCCGAGTAGGACATAAGAAGATTGAAAATGACTTAAATTTTTAACAAGCTTTGTTCCTCCAAGTTACGAAATGTACGATTTGGATCCTTTTACATTCACTGCTTCTTATATAAGTTTGATCACATTAGGAAATTTAATAATCTATATGAAACTGATAGGCAACCAAAACCAAACTAACCGTTGACTTTGAAACTTATATTTTGCCCTCCTCTGTCTCCCCTCTTTTGACTCGAGTTATACTCACTCTTAATGGTGTTGTGTAATTTGAGAAGTTTACGGCCAGGTAAAGTACTTACTTTAAGGACGTTTCATCTTTTCTCAACTTTCCAGTAATAATATTCTATTCTTGTCCGACAAGTGCTATCCATCTATTCATCTCACTTTCTCTCGCGGAGTCACATCCCTTGGTTGGTTTTGTCTTTGTCTTTGTCTCCACATAATTTCTTGGCCTGCAGCATTTCCAACCGTTTTCCGGAAATGGGATGAAAATTCTTTGCTACTGGTTCATATACATATTCCTTTTCATCTTCATTCAGCAAGGTCAAATTCTTGGGAAGGAAAGGGTTTGAATTATTATTTAAGGAGGAGAAAATTCAACCATTAGTAGAGAGAGAACAGGTAGACACTTGCTTCGCAGAAAATAGAATAAGTTTAAATTAATGTAATAACTCATTTCTAAATTCTGTAGGAATCATCAAACGGAAACCTACGTTGGAATTTCCACCTTGGTAGAACAGTGGCTGCAGAAGCAATGGGGACGTTAATATTGTAGGATGGGGGGAGGGAGGGGTTTATATAACATGGGAAGATGATGGGGACATCGAACAACCATGGGGACATTGTCCCTCTGTCCCCTCAAGCTTCCGCGGCCACTGAGGTAGAAAATAGGCAAAATCTCTTGTTGCCGGTGTAATATGTATGGCAAGTCGCTTCAAGTTATCTCTACTGAACTGACTGAGGTGAAAGTCAGAGTTGGGCATTCGTTTCGTTATTAATTACGTTATGTTACGTTACGCAGAGAGAAGAGGAATGTAGATCCGCTTAAAAAAGTGTTTTTTGTATTTTTCATCTTTATACAAGATCCTCTCTGATGATGATTATTGAATTAGTGCTTAAAATTTGCAGTAATTCTCACTCCGTCGCTAAACCTATTAGCAAATGAATTTTATTATTTGTACTCCGTGAGATGGAATAATGGAGTGGATGGATGCAACTTTGAGACAAACCATGTTTCCGAATTTCAATGAATTTCTACATAATTGGATTTCCATCCTTTTCTTTGTTCTTGAGCCAACAACTGGAGCAGTCGTTCTCGTTGTTAGTTCTTTCTATTTAATTCTGCTATGTATCCAGCGTTAGTTAGTGGATGGATGGATGGGGACAATTATAGAGTCGCCTGGTCTTCTAGGAAATTATATTTATGAGACTTTGCTATTCTTTCATTTGAACGCTGAAAAGGCGAGCAGTGGAAACAAAGACAAATCCAATTAAATTAGAAATTACGGCGACTCTTGCTTATTTTATTCCGTTTCAATGAGCACAACTAGTCGTATATACACAGTATAATCACATTGGTGGTCTGGTCTGGTATCCTCTGTAATTTGTGTACCTCGCCCGGTATTCAGCAGGTTATATAACGAGTAATACAAAAACTTGCAAAAATGCGATAAGATCTCATCAGATGGATTATACATATTCCCCATTTATCGACTTTATTGATTATTAACCCCAAAAATACTCGAGTCTATAGACCAAAATATTCCAAACTTTAAAATAATCATGACTCATCAAAACCACTTGTTTTCCTTGCGTAAAACCCAATCATAAATCAAGAATAGATGACACTTTTCCAAAATTAATTCAATGTGTTCCCCCCAGAAATTTAATTAAAAACGTCTCAATTTATTTTCCTACCGTTTTATAATTTATGCTGATTACGTGTCACAAAAAAAGAAAGGGCTGCTAGATACGTTAGAAATAATGTGTTTTCTTTCACTTCATTCCTTTCCTTGGAAGAAAACAAGTGTCGACTTTCTCCCCAAGTTTGCCAATTCGTGATGAAGTTGCAGAAACAGAAAAGTCGTTTTCTTTCACAAACAAACAAACAAACACGAAATGAAGAGTCATCATCCCGTTTCTCCAATTAGAACTTTATGTAAGGATAAGTTGTGGTTGGTTGGTGATGACATAATAAGGCAAAGTTTTTTTAATGTGACAATCTTCTCCTTGGGTGAAAGACACCAAAATTTGATAAGATGACCATATCGTGAAAGTAATAAGCAAGCTGACGACGGTGGTAGTGGTTTTCATATTCTTAACTTTTCCATCTCATCCTGTGTCTCCACTCCAGGTTTCTCACGAGTAATTTGAGACTGAGTGGAATTTAATGGGCCAGTGTAGCATGTGATTTGCGTAATTACGGGGTATCAACTTAATGAATAAGTAACTTAATTAAGGGCTTGGTCGGATGAGATAACGACCAGAGTGATACTTATTTAAGACGGAAAGACTGCTTTATGTGATTAAAACCCTAAATGTTTACTTGGACAGAGAGATAAGATGAGATTATTACATTTTGGAGAGACGTTCCGTTATGGGGTGGATTGTGACGAAAACATGTGTAAACTATGCATATTTACGGTATTTGGGATAATTCAAAGACGTCCTGAAACAAATCTTTAAAATATTTCACTCATCAAATTTTTCAATATTCACTTTACGACGTCAAACCTCAACAATTCATAACCTTTTTCAACTCCCTATAAAATACTAAAATTAAACCTCTCATTTCCTCTCAACTTGTTTTTTCATTGCTAAAAAGTGAAAATCTGTCGTCCAAAGCTTGAAGAGTACTTACCCCGTTGTGACGCGATATTGAGCGAGAGCTGCGGCCGGTCCTCTCGAATTCCCAGCAGAACCATTTCCTTGATACGAGATGTATTCACGGGACTTTGTACTTCCCCCGAAACGCTGCATATTTCCGGAATGACCACATTAAAGTCGGCACTGGTAGCGGTATACTGGTCACAATGGAGAACCAGCAGCAGCACCAGGACCAGCAGTGGTGGTGGTGGTCCCATGGTTGTTTACAGCGTCGATGTCGTCGACGAGTCCTCTTATTTACGGTTATTGAAATTATGTCCGTCCGTACGTAGTTTACTTATCCTTAGTTCTCAGTTATAGGCGCCCATTAGTAGGCGGAAGTCTAGTTCTGCTTTACTGACTGACTGACTGAATTGATCACTTTACGAGTTCACTTTCACTGGAAGAAGAAGAACGTTCATCGCTCCCCGGTTGTAAAATTAGATTCCTTCTCCACCAGTCAAATATTTCGCACATGTGGCCACGTCCCATGATGGGGGAGGATTACTTATTAGTAGAATGTAGGTCTCTACTACTTTTCTATATGAATGCTGTCCCATTACTTATTGTCCGGAATGATTGACTCGACTATTTCTTGAATACGAATTGATTGCACTACTTTCAGACTTGTATTTGAACTCTGCAAAATGGTAGTTTTCTCTCCCTCCCTCCCCTCTGGTAATTCCGATCCCACGCTGCTCCACTTCCTGTCCAAGGAAATTAAAAGGAAACAATTATAGGCTGGCTCGTTTAGTCAATAACAATTCAATTACAGAAATCAAGATTAAAATCCAGGCTGTCATTTCAAGTTTTGTAACAAAATTTTACCCCTTTCGGCTATTTGCAGACAGACGGTGGAAACCTTTCATTTTCAATTATTACTTTTTAACCTACAACAAAGTCCAGAGTTTAGTTTACATCCGTTCCAATTCTCCCGAAATCGGCGAGCTGTGCAAATTCATTCCCTTCCTTCACGCACCACACACATGGATCAAATGCGAATCAGAGAGATAATTTGTGAAATTCTAGGACTTTCCAAGTTACACAAAACAGTGCGAGAGACGAACAAACTCGTAGGAAACGTCAAATATCAAAGGGAGCAGACAGTGGCCGCGGACAGAGGGACAATGTCCCCATGGTTGTTCGATGTCCGCATCGTCTGCCCATGTTATATATACCCCTCCCTCCCCTATCCTACAATGTTAATGTCCCCACGGCTTCCGCGGCCACTGGGAGCAGAGATACACTTTAATAAGCCACGCCACATTTTCACGATGTGCTCTTTCCACGCCTTTCACTCACTCGCATTGCTTGCTTTCTCTTCACAAAATCAAACCAACCAGACTTTCAACTTTCATTTCATATCCATCCGCATGCCACGTTAGAGAACACGATGATTAAAGAACATTGGCGAAATCAACGTCCGTCATAAATTCGTATGTATACCAACTTGCGGACAATTGTGCATGAACGATTACGAACGATTTCGATGGTGGTGGTTGGTTATGTTCCAATGGGAAAAGTCAAACAGACAAAAGTCAACTTTATCCTCATTTCTCACGGGTCGTTTATTTGTACTTTTCTGGGTGAAAGTTGGCAACAAGTTTGACCCAGAAAGATATCAAATCCGAATATCCGATTCGTATACAAAATTTTATTTTTTGTGAGTGAATAAGCTACGCCTCCGGTTAATTTACATAATTTATTTTGCATAACATTCATATCGCATAAAGGGAATTGGTCTATTAAATTTCACATTGTGCAACACAACTTTATTACATTTTAAAACAATTTTTTTTAATTATGCAAAACAACAATTTCGCATAATTGGTATTTGCATAAAGTTTTCATTCGTTTCGCACTTTCGGTACAAAAGTTTACCATATCAGTAGCAAATTTTTACAGTCAGGTATAATTTTAATACCAAGAATTTCCAAGTCTAATATACTTATCTAATATACCGAGAAATCAATACTTCCTGTTTGACTATCTGTATACCAGGCTTCGAACAGTGTAAAATTCCGGTTATATAAAAATTTTTATTAATACTTTCCGAGATAATCACTCACATTAATAAATTTCTGCAACCCTTTATTAATATATAATCCTTTGACCTATAATTAGCCAAAACTCTTCCAAACAGAAACGACGACCAATTTAGCCGAATGAAGTCAGTCGTCACGTCAAAGGGCAAATAATTTATGAGCCAATATCGACAACACCACATTCCAACCAACATGAAATAAAGTTAAGCAAAGGTAAAGTGTCACTTTTCACATTATTTCACTACCTACGAACCATCACACAAAAGTAAATTTGTCCTTCCTACGATTCATCCTACTTATGAAATAGACCAAACAAATAGACAACTCACTCTTACCTTTCCTCAGAGAAAAACCCATTTTGTAAAATAATTACGGCACAAAAGGCCAAGCTTATTACTTACTTTCAGAATGTATTAATATGCCAGAAAGCTGACCACCCAGAGCTTCGCAATTTTCGAAACCAAATCTAAAATATTCATCAATATTGGCCAAGGAAAGTTGTTCTAAAAAATTTTTTATCCTAAATACTAATCAAGCCAAGTACATACTTTCCTTCCGAATAAATATTGACGCAGCCAACAGGAATTTTCTTCCGTTCTTCTTTTCTTGTAGGAAAAACATCTTAAATTAAACAAGTTTTCAGTATCAAGTTTTAAAATCAAAATTGTTATGAAGATTCCAGAATAAATTTTTCTTCCCCTTAAAAACACACCTTTGCAGTGGCCGCGGAACAGCATGGGGACAGAGGGACAATGTCCCCACGGTCTTTCGATGTCCCCGTCATCTCCCCATGTTATATAAACCTCTCCCTCCCTTATATATCCTATAATGCTAATGTACCCACATGTCCCCACCGCTTCCGCGGCCCCTGCACCTTTTAAAATCAATTAAAACCACAACAAACTTCGTGTTCTTCTTCATATTTAGATTTGCATGTACTTCTACACCTTGTAATATCACGCAGCCATCGCGTATTTATGTACATTGTTCTACCAAAAAGTGGGTTTAACCCGATAAATATTCCATTTTCCACGTGGTCTGACCTGACCCGATCTATTTAATTCAAACGCCATGCCACGCATGTAGGCAGACTGAACCGGATGGATCCACCATATTGAACTCGATCGGAATATGTACATATATGCCCATTAAATATTCCATTCTCTCCATTCCACTATTTTATTTGATAGTATCAATATCGAACTTTCCACTAAACTTAATGCCGCCGCGTCGTGGTAGAAAAAAACAGCGAGCGAGTAAGGAAATGTTCCTCAGTGGAAAATAAGTAACTTGCAGAAGGGGATTTTAAAAGAGATTAATGCTAATGCACTTACTTTGTCTTCTTAACTTATAAAAAACACTACACTTTCTTTACCGATTCGCCCCCAGCCATGGTTTTACCTGGCATATTACTTTCTCCTCCTTTGCATTAGCTACCTTCGGAAAAGTATTTCGTTTCATTTTTTATTTCTTTTTCGCAAAATCACCTCAAGAGGAAGAAGAAGAAGATCCATTCCACTCCATCAAGAACGACTTGCTTATATATTTCCGCAAAATAATAAATGTCTCTCTACATACATAACCAAGCAATGTTACAGAATGGATCAATACCCGTAATGCATAGACCAAGGTAAATTATTAAATAAATTCTAATGACAATTATACAACTCTAAAATAAATGGGGCGCTATTAAATATGATAAACTGTACATAACCTAGAGAGTCATATTATTTATGTCAAATTTGCATAAATTCCTTCATCAAGTACATACACTCTTAGAAAACTGGTATGAAATCATTACTGGCAGGAGTACATACATACTTATATGACTCTACGGGCACTGGTAATAACGGGCATTACCGTTTAGTAACGTTGTGGTAATAAAAAATTACCACTCAGAACCAAACTACTACCAATCCGGTAAAAAGTTATTACCAAATCAATACCGGTCCCGAGTACATATGTAACTCTACCAGATTTTTAACAGTGTACAAAGTCTTTTTTAAGCCTAAATTGTGGAAATGTTAAGTATTGCAAAACCCAAATTACGTCTATGATCAATACATAATGCGACCTGACTCTACGTACCAACCAATCCAATTATGCATATGTTTGCGTACATACATAAAATAAAAAAAGAAAAGCAGTTCGTCCCCCTGAAAGGCAAGATTGCTTCTTTATTTCACATGCCGTTAGTTCGTTAGTATTTAGCCGGAGTAACAGCGCGTAGTCTGCAATGATTGCATGCACACGGAGAAAAGGTATTAAAGCTTTGTCGTAAAAGGTGGATGGAGAATGTATGAAATCAACGCTGCATTTCTAATTTTCTTACCGCATATCGTAAACAAAAGGCAAGCCACCACATGCTTTGCTTTCTCTTTTCTATTTCTATGTACCTCTCCTATTTTCCTGCCGATCAGTGGCCGCGGAAGCTTGAGGGACAATGTCCCCACGGTTGTTCGATGTCCCCATCATCTCCCCACGTTATATAAACCCCGCCCTCCCCTCCCCTACAATGTTAAAATGTCCCCACCGCTTCCGCGGCCACTGCTCTGCCGATTGAGAGTGTTAGGCAAGAATGAGACTGCATGCAAAAGTGAAAGGTGGCCTTTGGGACTGATTCCTTAATTCAGTCTTTCTTTGTGAACGTGTAGCAATTCTGCACGATTGCCAAACAACAAGGAAAGTCTGTCTCGAGTCATTCTGGGGCAATAAGATATTATTGCTTTTCTTCCTACCTACCTAACCTACTAAAAATTCATACGGTCAATTTGTACTACGATATATAGTACATATATCATTTATTATGCAGATTGAGCCGTAATCTAAGAGCGTAATCTATTTATTACTCAGGAAAAACTTACAAAGGACCAAGTCCCTTTGACGGTTGTGTAATATCTTAAACCTTTATTTCTCTCGTGTTGGAAATATATTAGAAAAAGGTAACAGCTCTGAACTTGAAAAGTTAATAAATTTGCACGATTTATGAAAATATGCCAAAAAACCCAAAGTCAAAAGGTCAATTTTTTTCCCCACTGAATTTTAATTTAACCAACGGAAACGAAATCTGTTCATCCTTTTTCCCTTGACCACGTTACACTCCTGCTGCGGTCTGGCCTCTTACAAACTAATAACCATGCAGTCTCGTCTCCTTAGTTTAGTCTGGAAAAGTGAAAGCAAATAATACCCAACTTTCTCCTACTTACTATTGCTCCCTCCTTTTGCCTCGCGGTTTGGGTTCCATTGCGGTGAATTTTATGCAAAATTGGCGTTTCTACTTTCATCTCATCATAACAGAACGGTCCACCAACCGCTACTCGTGGTGCTTATGCACAGTGGCCGCGGAGGGAGCGTGGGGACAGAGGGACAATGTCCCCACGGTTGTTCGATGTCCCCATCATCTCCAATGTTATGCAAACCCCTCCCTCCCCCTATCCTACAATGCTAATGTCCCCCGATGTCCCCACAGCTTCCGCGGTCACTGCTTATGCATGTACATATATTCTTCCTCTTGCCTGCTTGAGTAACAACTGGGCCGACTGACTTGGTAATGCACTCATCTCTCTATTTCTCTTGTAATTGGATTCAGTTAAAATGATGTGAAACGAAAGCACGCCTGGCCCACCAGCAGCTGTCTGCTTTCTCCGCTTTTTCCGCTAAAT